AACTAGAACTCACAAAGAGATCTAGTCTTCTTCGGCGAACTAGAACTCACAAAGAGATCTAGTCTTCTTCGGCGAACTAGAACTCACAAAGAGATCTAGTCTTCTCCGGCGAACTCACTAAGAGATCTTGGAGGGAGGAACTCACAAAGAGAACAAGTAGTAAATTTCATTTCATCAAAACTACCTATTACATAAGAAAAGGGCCATATAAATAGGCCTCAAAATGACAAAGAAAACAAAGACTAAAATGCCCCTTGGGCTACAATAGCAACTAACTACCCATAAGGGCAAAAATGGAAAAACATTAAAAATCAAATAAACTATTACATAAAATGACTTAAAATAAAATTCATGATCGTGGCCGTTGATCTCCGGCGTCTCCTGAAGGTACATGTGTCGAAATCTCTGACGATGTCCTCATCACCTCCTCTCTTTCTCTCAAGCTCTCAAGCAAGAAGACAAAGGAAAATCTCGGAAATTTTATTAATTCAACATTAAGCTCATACAATAGGAGGTGATCTCTTTATAAATGTCTCATCAAAAGAAAATAACATGACTCAAATGCCCACAGGGCTTCAATAAAGATTAAACCCTCATAAGGGCAAAATAGTAAACTAAAGCTTGAAATAAAAAAATACATAGAAAATATCATAAGATGACATGGCAACATCAGAAATATAAGCTCCTAATCGTAGCCGTCAATCTACGATTCCTTCGCCGGTAGACCTGCCTAAAATGTCTGTCGATGACCTCATCACATTCCCTTAATATTATCATTTTCATTTCACTTTGGCTGACGTAGCTAGGGTTTCACAACAATACCCGATGTCATCTCAACATTGATGTCTGATGCCGTCACAATATTCATGTTTCAAAACCATCTCAAAATTTAAGTCTAACGCCAACAATTTCTACGCTCACAATTATGCCCCTGCCCCTGCCCGTCTTGACATCACATCGTTGTTTGACGTTATCTCAATGTTGGCAACCGACGCAATCTTGAAATCGATGCTTGGTGTGTCGCCGATCTAACTGCATACAGTCGACACGGAATACAATAGAGAGGAGACTATAAGTCATTTCCAATAAATACTTCAATATAATATATGCCCTTCAAAAATACAACAATTATAAAATATATAATTAAAGCATTATTCATAAGCGAAGTTTGTCCAAAAATTTCATTTCAAAAAATTTTCGTTTATAGAGCAACTATAAGAAAACCAAAACTTGAAACTATTTTTTTACCGACCTCAAATTCACCTTCCTTTTATTGACAAAAGTAAACATAAATAAAAATTGAACCTGACATTATTCTAACTCAACTTTATCTTTCTCTTAGTTGGTAAGAACAATCAGAATAACAATCTGGTGAGCTTACGGAACTTTAATACAACAAATTTAGGAAAATCGATACTTAGCATGTGCATCAATAGATGAATCTGAGAAAACTATATATAATTGTTTAATAGAAATTATGTACAGTAGTTTATAATCTAACATGTGAAAATTTTGCTACACATAAGAGTTATATGTAATGTTATTTTAATATCATTACATCAGGCTAGTTGCATTCAATATGAAATGATACATCACGTGGAAATTCTGTTTTGTCAGTTGTTTTTCAAGATGTAAATCATACTTTACTATAGGTAATCAAAAATAGATTTTAGTTCATTTTATAATTCCCATTTTAGCTTCAGAAGGTTTCTAGTTGTCTAGGTTAGGTCTACAGCCTACAGGCTTCATATCATACCTAGGTCGCACTGGCTCTACTTGAGGCCCCCACCGGCCTATCACCTAATATGATATTTTTTCAGGCTCATCTGATCATTGCATTTTCCTCCCAAGTTGTGTGACACTTGACTATAGATACATATTCATGCAGATTGATATGACTATTAGGTGCATCAGAATATAAGTTGGTATAAGTGCATGAATCATATGTCACAAATCTTCGTATGACAGAATTGTATATTGCAGCATAATATAACAGAATCAACAAGTTCAAAAAGTTATACGAGTTCAAAAAGTTATGTGGGTTTGTCAATTCCAACAAGTACAAATACATACGTCATCCATAATCAAATTGAATGCATGTATACAGACAATACCCAATCGACTTGTGTATGGTATTAAAAAATGCATATCTTACCTCCTCCATGCGCTAACTCACCAATCCTGACACATCGTGTCCGTCTGAGCGAGTAAGGCACCTACACCAACCCAACTCATTAATTGACAATTCACACAATCTATTATCCGATTCCTATAATTAAATCGATTCCCATCAAACATACCTTCCAATTTTCACTTCGCATACACAACTTGGATTTTTTCCTTTAAATTTCCTTTGCATTACTAATATCTTAAATTATATTAAAATTGAGTGCAAAATTAAATTCATTACCTCTAACTCTCTTCTTCCTTTTTTCTTCTTTCTTATCTCCTTTTTATCTCTTCCTACTCATTTCTCTTCTCTCCCTACACCAACTGGCCAGTTACAGTCCCCAATCTAGCACCCAAACATAGCCATCCCCACACAACCCAACCTAGCAGCTGCTCCGGCCTGCTCCAGCGCTACTCGATGGTTTTCCCAGCTCCAGCAGTCCCGAAAATGCCTCTACATGCTGCTTCTATAACCAAAACCTAGAGATATCCTATGACATTGGCTTGGTTTGGAAATTAAATAGCCCAAGGAAAAGCACTTTACTTTCTTACCCGCCACCAAACTCTAGCTTGCAAGCAATCTGCCCAAAACTCATACCTCGCTACAGTATTTTTCGTTTTAAAACAGTAACTGGATTTTTAGCTTAGGAAAAGAAATGCAAATGAGATTTAATTCCCTAACTTCCGATCCTTTGCAATTTGATAAATAGTTATGCAAGTCAAATTGCTACATTCGATGAGTAGAACACAATGTCAGTATGTCACTAATGACTGGCTATTTTTTAATTATTCTTAGTATTCAGTTTATTTAATTTTTATACATTATTTTTAAGATTTAAAAATTATAAGACAATCTCTAACCTGTGTATGTGTCCTATATTTTTAGTAATTGTTGTGTCCCGTGTCCTATGTTCGTGTCGTATCTGTGTTGCTATGTCTGTACATCATAGATGGCTACTATGAACTAAGAAAGCATAAAATTGTTGTTGTTGGATGAAGACAATGCTTATTAAAAGTAAAATGGTTTGTAAGTGAGATTAAAACTGCAGTTTTTTGAATGGTTTTTAGAGATTATGAAAAAAAAAAGTCCGCTTAGACTTTTGATTATAAAGTTATCACATTCAAATGCAATATCAAAATCCTCTATTCTGTTCAATATCATTAAAGTTTATGGTATGCTTGATTTCAAGGTTTGTTGATATCATTTGATCATCAATCAGATGCATCAATTTTTTTCAATGACTCTGGTTGCATGAGAAGGGCCTCAAAGTGTAGAGACTCTCAAATATATAGGGTTTAAATTCATGTTTTCATGATGATATTTAACATATATTGAATGAGTTTGATTGAAGAAATACATCGGATAAACTTTGTTGTCAAGAGGGCTTCTACAAAACACCATCTAATCATCTTTTCTTCACTTGCTTGATAAATAGTTAAAATATGATGAAATTTGATCCATCAGAAAATTTCTTATTTTAAAATATAATTCAATAGTGTGATTTTAAGTTTGAATATTGTGTAGAGTGGTAGACAAAAGAAAAAAAGAGAAAAAGTTTACTCACGTAAATGTGAATAATTTGAAGCTTCTTGTAGTCTGAAAAGTTACTGTTTCATCATTTCAATTTATTTGTAAAAGTATTGATTAATTTAGATAATAATAATAGATTATATGTAATTTTGTATTTTATGCTCTATAGAAACACCAATTCGTTGAAAAATACCACTGCAGCTAAAAACTTGGTGGTTTCTATTTTTTTTATCCCTAGCTGTATGGTGGCACCTGCGCTTATGGGGAACCATTACCAGCATGGCGTTGGTCCTTAGGAATTTACCTCATTTTTGTTCTAGTCATAAAGCTCATAGAATATTTTATTTTATTTTCTGAAAATGCGGGAATCAATGAACCAAAGCTTCAACAATAGGAGAAATTATTCTGTGTGGAGACCGAACGTAGAACGCTGTCCGGAGATCAATTAGAATGCATCACATCAGTAGTATCGAGCTGGAGTACTGAGCAAGGGATAACGTTGCATATTCTGGTTGGTGTTCAGACGGCGTTCGGCGTCCGCACAGAATAATTAGGCCAACAATAGGGCTGAAATTGAGTTTGAAAACATTGATTAATGCTTACTATTGCCAATAGTTCGAAAATAAATGAACGGTTACCATCCTTAATTTGATATTATTTCTGTTCTAAGATTTTTATCTTATATTTTGTTAATAAAGCACCCTTCATAATAAACCATCTAGCCATTCGTTCTCTTTATTTTTCAACCCACTCTTGATAATCGTGTGAATGCTATTGTAGGAGCGCAAGAGAGAATGCAGTTGGGAAAAAGAAGTCTTCTAATGTTAAGGCTGAACAGACTTACTCAAGTCCAATTCTTCCTCCACCACCACCTCCATCACTATCAGCTAAGATGCCAGCTTCCCATGATTCCTTTCCAGTTGATTATCTCAGTGGCGATTCCTACGAAGGAAAAAAACGATCAGAAGCTCATTTCAAACCACCTTCTCCTCCGTCTGTCACTGACTACCCCCCTCCCTCTTCAGGAACCGACTATGCTTCATCTTCAATTTTTTCCCCTCCGCCTAAATATGATGAGCCCAAATATGAAGATGAGCCTATTCTGAACACAAAGTCGAATGAAGATCTTCCAAAGGCTCCTTGGGAAACCCAGCCAGCCAATTTTCTGCCACCCCCGCCTTCAAGACATAGCCAAAGGCAGCAGTTTTTTGAGCAGCAACACCATCGGTCATCTTCATCTGAGTCAGAATCTTTCAATGGATTTGCAACAAAGACAGAGGATTTCTCTTTCAATCAGCAGAAGTTGCCACAGCATTCGAGCGCACAAGACTCCTCAATACCAACACGGCAAACCAAACCTGAGGATGCTCTATTCAAAGACCTGGTCGATTTTGCCAAGGCAAAGTCATCAACAACCAGGCCGCCCGGTAGCCAGAGGACACGCTGAGAGGTTTGCTACAGGTGGAAAATTAAGAATTTTTTTATTAAAGGGGTGTTTGGTACCAGATTTGTCCGTTGTTTTTAGTAGGATTTAGCGTAAATCCAGCCAAACGCAATCCGCGCCGCTGTAAATCCAGCAAATTCGTAAATCTTGGATTTAAATCCGGTAAATCCGTCTAAATCCTAATCTCATTCCTATTCAGATTTAACGCAACATGCAGTTGCGGAACTTCTTCCCGCGGCGCCCGTCCTATAATCTGTTGCCAAACAACTTCTCAGGATTTATGAGCCTCGGATTTACAAAATCCGGATTTACAGGATTTAGTAAATCCTACTAAAATTGAATCCAATCCTCTACCAAACACCCCCTAAGGGTTTGTTTTGATAGAAGTGGCTAAATATGTCTTTTTTTTTTTTCAGGTTCTTTCATATTCCATGGATTGTAAAGCATTAGAGAAAAGTATTTGGTGCAGATTAGGTATATCATAATGTCACTTTTTATGTGCACATCTTATGATATATATGTTTCGTACATTGCAAGTTATTGTCGAGTTCATGGTTTCTGGACCTTCCTAAATTGTATATTTGCTACAACAGAGTCGACATACCATCAGTCTTTGGATGTCAGAAATTTGAGTTCGAGGAAATTAAGAAATGTTTAAAAAGTTTGTCAATTGCTACAGATTATGATTAAAACACAGATTATTTGAATTAAAAACCTGCTGCTTTTTACTATCTTCTTCCATTTCAGCTTCGTGGAGAAGTGATTTGATACAGGTTATACAGTTTTTTTTGGTTTTGTAAAGCTGGTGGCATGATTCTTCCAAGTAATCCATCTATAAAGTGGGAGCTTTATTTATATAGACCTAGTGACCCATCTTTGGTATGTGCCAAATTACAGTTATTGCAAGGATTTTGCTCAAGAGGTTTTTAATCAAGCACTCATTGATATGCCATTTCTGCATAATAAGCAATAAGATTATTATAGAAAATAAATAAATATATTTTTAAATTGTTGTGAATATTATAGGTTTATTCTCTTAAATAAAGTTAAGACAATTTTTCATCGGATCTGATTATAAGCATATACTTGAAAGGGTTGGAGTGGCTACGGTGAAAGATAAGATTACAAAGATTCATCTTAGATGGGTTGGTCACATAAAATGGTGGCCTTTTGATGGAGATTATTCTGTGCAGTGTTCGAATGTTTCCGGAGGTCAATATGGACTCGTCATGTCATATAATGCACTGTGCATTGAGTGACATGACGCGCCCGGATTGGCCTTCAGACGCGTCCGAACACCGCACAGATTAATTTTTTCTTTTGAGAGATTATTAAAGAAGTAGATGTATTAGATTTGATTTATATTAAGAAAGATAGAGATTAATTTAAAAAGATTTGATTAGAAAATATTATAAATGACTTTTCTTTATAAGATTTAAATGAGAATATAATTTTTAACATGGGATAAAGGCATGTTGTTGTTGTTGTATAAAAGTTTTAGGTTTTATTTTGGATAGTTTTTTAACTGTTTTTGAAATTAATTTTTATTATAATTTTTTTTAGTTCTTAGTGATAATATGAATATTCAAATGAGATAATTGCAAAAATATCTCCCTTCTGAATGCTCGCTGTCAAGTAATGCTTTCTTTGATCTAACGTGATGTCTCTATCATTGGTGGATCCGCCCATGGTCAATGGTGATCAATTTCAATTTGAATTGGTGGATCCGCCCATGGTCAATGGTGATCAATTTCAATTTGAATTGGTGGATCCGCCCATGGTCAATGGTGATCAATTTCATGAGTCATTGGTGGATCCGCCCATGGTCAATGGTGATCAATTTCAATTTGAATTGGTGGATCCGCCCATGGTCAATGGTGATCAATTTCAATTTGAAAATTGATGTCTCCAAAAATTATCTTGATCGGGCACGAATCCTGAGGCATAATCAAGTTGGAAACTTTGGAAATTAAATCAGAAACCATCCAAACTCCAATTTAAACAAACTTATAATCAAACTGAATGTCTCGAGAAGACGATCCCAACGACACCAAATTCGACTCAATCCGAGCCTGAATGGGTCCACATCAAGGGTCTGAAGCACCGTTGAAGGGTTCAAACCACAATTTGGATTACCAAACGGTTCCCAAATATGGCATGCTTATAATCGAATCGAGCGGCTCGACGAGACGAATCTAACGAGCCCAATATCATTTAATTATGAAATCTTTAAGGCATCCAATTGACCAATAAACGGTCCATGATCAAGGGGATCAATATCGGCCGTACCTTCAAACACTCCCATTTTGCCCTTGATTCTCCATATATTTACAAGTCATGCCACTCTCAAAAAACTATAAACAACCCCCACTCTTTGAGGGGGGAGGGGGGAAGAGGATGGAGCTGTCTTGCCATCGATCACCGCCGAAATTCCTGTTTATCACCGCCGGGGTTCTTGCCGGCCACCGCCGGAGTTCTTTCTGACCACCTCCGGAGTTCTTCCCGACAACCGTCGGACTTCTGCCAGTCCGTCGACCGCCGACGGACTTCCAAAAGTTCGCCGACCGCCGCCAGACTTCTGCCAGTCCGTCGACCGCCGCCAGACTTCCACCAATTCGCCGACCTCCGTCGGACTTCTTCTAGTTCGCCTACCACTGTTAGACTTCTGCCAGTCCGTTGACCGCCATCGGACTTCCAACAGTTCGCCGACCTCCATCAGACTTCCTCCAATTCGCCTACCACCGACGGACTTCCAACAGTTCGCGGACCGCCGCCGGACTTCTGTCAGTCTGCAGACCGCCGCCAATCTTCCACCAGTTCGTCGACCTCCGTCAGACTTCCTCCAGTTCGCCTACCACCGCCGGACTAGAGGCCTACGATCGTTTTGTCCTACGGGATAGTGCGGCCGTACCCTCTGCATTCGAACCCCCGCGAGTGGTGCTCCTTCGGAGGTCCACAGCCTACCACCGACGGACTTCCAATAATTCGCCGAACGTCGCCGGACTTCTGCCAGTCCGCCGACCGCCGCTAAACTTCCACCAGTTCGCCGACCTCCGTTAGACTTCATCCAGTTCGCCTACCACCGTCGGACTTCTGCCAGTCCGTCGATCGCCGTCGGACTTCCAACAGTTCGCCGACCTCCGTCGGACTTCATCCAATTCGCCTACCACCGACAGACTTACACCAGTTCGCCGATCGCCGCCAAACTTCCACCCGTTCTCCGACCACCGACGGACTTCTGTCAGTTCGTCGACCGCCGCCGGATTTCCACCAGTTCATTGACTGTAGCCGGACTTCTGTCAGTTCGTCTACCGCCGCCGGATTTCAACCAGTTCGTCGACCACGGACAGACTTCTGCCAGTCCGTTGACTGAGGCCAAACTTCCACCAATTCACCGATCGCCGCCGGACTTCCACCCATCCTCCGACCGCCGCCGGACTTATACCAGGTCACCAACTGCCGCCGAACTTCTTCCCGTTCGCCGACCATCGTCGGATTTTCATAGTTTGTCGTCTGCCATCAGAATTCCGCCAGTCTGCCGAACACTGCAGGATTTCCGCCAGTCTGCCAACTACAGTCCTCCCAACCACTATCATCCAACAACAGTCCTTTTGATCTCTGTCGTTTGCCGATTATGGTCCTTCGGACCTCTATCGTCTGCCGACTACATTCCTCGCCGACTATGGTCCTCTCGACCTTCGTTGCCTGCTAACTATGGTCCTCTCGACCTTTATCTCCCGCCGACTACGATCCTCCCGACCTTCGTCGTCCGCCGACAACGGTCCTCCCGACCTTCGTCGCCCGCCGACTACAATCCTTCTGACCTCCGTTGTTTGCTGACAACGATCCTCCCAACCTCCGCCTCCATACAACGGCCCTTCTGACCTATGTCGCTTGCCGACTACGGTCCTTCTGACCTTTATCGCAATACAACGATCCTTCTGACCTATGTCGCTCACCGACTTCGATCCTTCCGACCTTTGTCACCCGTCGAATATGGTTCTTCCGATCTACATCGCTCGTCGACTATGATTTTGCCGCCCCAAACAAACATATCAACATTGATTCTTGCAACTTCCACCATGCAATGCATTTTATGTGATGTATATTTGTTACTTCGAGCCAAGACCTTCATCCTAAGGAAGGGCCTCATTTGTAATCAATTGCAAGCACTAGTGGATTCATTCAAACTGGGCTAGGCTCCGTGATTTTTCCCCCTTTTCATGGGTTTCCACGTAAACACGCTGGTGTCTCTTATAAACTTTACACCCTCCTTTTCTGCTTGTGTTCTGAATCTTCGTACAAAGCTAATGCATTAATCTTTATATTTCTCTACCGTCGCGAATTTTCCAGGATGCAACAAAAATGTTCATTTTATAAAATATTTTTAATCATTAATTGAAATTATATTTAAATTAAAATATTTAAAACTTATTTATGTAATTGTATTATTAAATTAAGTATAAAAGCAAATATGTGTTTATATATTTGGACATAAAAATAGCAATTAATTTTATATTTTAATTTTTTTAATCCTATGGGCTATAGGTGTCAAAATGTGTTTTTAGTTAAGGTATTGATTTAACCTGAAATGACCCTCCATTAGTTGCCCCAACCCAAATAGGGAAATGGGTCAAAGACCTAGACCCAAATTGGACCCGATTTTAACCCGAGTCTACTCGACTCAACACGCTAACAAGTTTTTTTTTAAAATATTTTTTTTACCAATTCCATTTCATGCGCTGACCCAAAACGCATATGGCGTCCCCGTTTTTCCATTTCACGCGCTTTTTCGACCAAATCCCATAAATCACAAACGAAACGAACCACTGGCCCCCATTTTTGCTAATTCACCCGCTTTTCACTTTAACGCTCAACTAAGCTGCTAACCGAACTTAAATAACAAATCACAATTGAAACATAATCCTACCTCTTGTCTCATCTGCCATTTTGGTGCGTTTCTTTGACAAAATCCAAAAATTCGTATGATACAAGTCAAAATTGGGTTAATTACAAGGTGGCAAGTTGACTTGAATTTGATATGCTTGTTAAATGTGTCATATTCTTAGACCTAAATCTGATCAGTTTGTTAAACAGGTCAACCCAAATACAAAATTGCAGGTTTAGGTCTAAACTAGATTTATTAGTTGAGCCAATTATGATCAATCCCTTAATGTAGGGGTGATAGTTAAGCTAAATGGGTCGGGGTTTTCAACCCATACCCGACCGTGCATGTTATCAGATTGACCTATCCTAACCCGCAAAGCTAGACACGAACATGAAGGTTAGAGTTTGTTTGTTCAAGTGAGGCTTCACCAATCGCTACATGCGTTACAGGTGCGAGACAGGGTCAACCGGGCAAGACCGCTAGTGCGGACCACAGGCAGGTGCGCCTGGTGCGGCCTGTGGGTGCGACTTGCGGCGGAGCCGTGCATCAGGTGACGTTGACCAGACTGGCAGACACACTAGATGGGTTGATTTCGGGTCAAATCTGATTAATTTTGAATTTTCAAACTGAAATCCGAAAATTTTTTGATCGGATGAGATTATGACACCCCTAACTTAATGCGTAGAATTAATTCATAGCACGCCACGACTCCGCAAATAAGTTTATTTCCATTTGACAATGGCATTTTCGCCGCTCTTTCCTTCAGATCCCAAAAACATTCAGAACACGAACTGTTACTTCTCCAATCACAAGGAACCACGTCATTTTCCTTAGTGCATGACGTGAGCGACACTTTATTTATTCGTTCGTAATGTAGTTTCCTGTTTGGAGTTTTCATTTGATCTTCAATAATCGACAAGAACAACGTATACGTTTCGGCTCTCATCGATACATTACTGGGTGAGCTGAGGAAGAGGGGTTTCGGAGTTGAAACTTGGTCTTGATTTCTATGGCGAATTCCGTTGGGGCTTGGATATGGTCTGCGTTGCTCTTGTTCGCGTTCATAGCCTCGGCAAGCTCCGATGAGTCCGTTGCGGAAGAGACACCTTCGGCGGTGCTCACCCTGGACGCTTCCAATTTCTCAGAGACGATCGCCAAGCACCCTTTTCTTGTCGTTGAGTTTTACGCCCCATGGTAATGCAATCTTATTCATTTCGCGCTTTATCTATATACTTAGATGGTTTTGGCGATGATTCGTTGAATGAGATGATGTTCTTGAAAATTGCACACGAGGTCAATCGGTGGAATGGTTACGGCATATTCAAGTTTAGATTTTTTATTTTTCTTATCACAGTTAGGTGATTTCTATCAATTTCAAGTTCTTCGACCCTTTAATAGTATTTTTTTTGTAAGCTTCTGAAGTGATGGGGGTGTTGAGGGGGTTGGGAAACTGAAACAGATCTGATTGATTAATCAGTGAAGTTTGCCATATTGTTAAATGATGGCTATTTTACAGGAGTAATTGTCTGTTTCAATTTAGGATGTGTTTATGACTTTGAGGTTCCGTTTGCGCCTGTCAATAAGTTGCGGCAGGAAAATGAGCTGCAAACCCTAGCCACGCTGCAAGGTGGATAAGCTATTTTTTTGTTACCTATGAAAATCGGCCACTGTATGGCATCCAATATCTCCAAACTTAATTGCTAGTTGTCTGTTGTGAATCCTTGATTACACAGTGGGAGGTTGTCTGTAAGACATCTATATTGGAATGGGTATGTTTAGTAGACTTTTTATTGAGGTCAAGGTGATGTGATGAATATGTTGTAGGCTTGCACTAATAGGGGACAGAGGAAATACCAGCAAAATGTGGAATAGCTTGGAAGAGCTTTGAAGTTAAAGGATTAGGCCGAAGATATGATGTTTAGAGGTTGTTGGGAATTTTTTTTTTATGAGCCAGAATTAATTAATTAAAGAGCTTATAATGATAGCTAATGATGAAAAAAATATTAATTGGTGTTATGCCAACTGTTATACTACTGCCACTGCTTCTGATGTTGAATATGCATGGGGAGTTTTCTTTTAGATTCTTAAGTGAAATCTTAGGCTCATCGATGCCATACCTTCCTTGTACTCATTTTGACATTGTTTACTTTTTAAGTCTTTTGTAAGCCAGATTTGTGCTCCTTCAGAGGCCTATCACTAGATCCAATTTGTTTCATTGTTAACTGTTTGGATTTTTGTATCAGAATCGAGACATATTGAAGTGAGTTTGAGTATAGTTTTTTGCTTGCAAAAAACTCACTTTTTGTGAACTCAATTTTGTGTTTTTTAATGGTTGTAGTGAGCTTCATTTTTATAAACCCTCTCATTAATTTGTCAATATTTCATTATCATTGAAGCAACATCCTAACCCCAACCCATAATTTAATATGATCATGAATTAAAAGTAACAAATGAGAACTGAAGGTGACTTCCTAACCCTCTAGATTGAAACTCATTTTCCTCATTTTTGAAAGTGAGTTCAAGAATGGGATCTTAGTGTCATTCAGTTTCAATCAAACAAAAATTTAAACTCAATTATAATAGTGAGAACTAATAAATTTTGGACACTTATGATGAAGCAAATTGGTCCTAAGTCAATCCAATCCCCCTTGAGATTAGGAGATTTTGGAAATTGGTTGGAATCCTTTAAGTCAGCCATGAAGAATTATTCTATACAATTAATGTAGCTTAATGAGACTTTTTTGGGCAATTTCTTCATCATGCTTGTTGGCTTCATTTTGATAAGCTTGTACCTAATAAAGCCTTACATTAAACATTTTTTCTAATGTGTATTTCATATGAATGATTTTTATTCATCCTTTTGTGGCAGGTGTGGTCATTGCAAGAAACTAGAACCAGAGGTAAGGATTATTTAGATTGTTACCCTTGTCACTCTGGGGGAAAATTTTCTCTATTTACTTTTAGTACCGGGCTGTTTGACATAATTAAACTTGTTCTTGCAGTATGAGAAGGCCGCATCAATATTGAGTAAGCATGATCCTCCCATTGTTCTTGCTAAGGTTAATGCCAATGAAGAGATAAACAAAGATCTTGCCTCTACACATGGTGTTAGAGGCTTTCCTACACTTAAAATCCTGAGAAATGAAGGAAAGAACATTCAAGATTACAAAGGCCCAAGGGATGCTGATGGCATTGTTGAATATTTGAAGAAACAAGTTGGCCCTGCTTCTGCTGAGATTAAATCCTCGGAGGACGCCGTTAATTTCATAGATGAAAAGAAAGTTTTTATTGTGAGTTCTCCATTCATTTATTTGTTCTCGAAAGTGAAATTTTTTCTTGTCGTCCTACTGTTGCCATCATAACTCGCCTTTATACCTAAAGTTGCAAACTTTCATTTCTGTTACACATTACTCTAGGTTGGTGTATTCCCTGAATATTCTGGAGAGGAATTTGACAACTTTACCAAACTAGCTGAGAAGTTGCGTTCAGATTATGATTTTGGTCATACTTCTGATGCTAAGCTGCTACCTCGTGGGGATACAGCAGTAAAGGGACCCGTTGTTCGTCTATTTAAGCCATTTGATGAGCTTTTTGTTGATTTCCAGGTAATTAGATGCAAGTTCTCTTTGCAATTCGGTTCTTAACTTTCGAAATGCATTTGGCAGTGGTTTGGAAAATCAATTTTGATTGTAATTGTTTTGTATTTTCTTTAAATTAGAATTTTTTTTCCTAATGTTTGTAAATGTAAATGTATTGTTTTTTTTTTCAGGATTTTCATTTGGATGCTTTGGAAGGTTCCATTGAAGTTGCCAGTATCCCTGTTGTTACGATTTTTGACAAAGAACCTTCCAACCACCCATATGTGATAAAGTTTTTCAACAACCAGAACGCCAAAGTAACAACCATTTCTGAATTTCATTGTCTGGTGTTTTTGTTTGCTTATATAGAAAACTTCTGAAAGGCTTTGCAGCTGTATTCTATCTGATGAATTGGCATTTTGATTTTTTTAGCCCTTCCCACATTTTACGCTCTTGGTTTAAGTTTGACATTTACTACCATTTTAAAATTTGCATTTGTTTGAAATAACATGGTTGTTCTGGGGCACTTTCTCATCTTTTACATTATAGAGCCTTAACCTTTCTTAGGCTCTTGCATTGGAAACTTCTGAGTACGATATTGCTATGTACTCTCAGTCATTAACTGTTTTCTTGATTTTGCTACTATTTTCTGATTCTTTTCGTACTATATTTTTGTTATAATACTTGTGGTATGGGTGATCTCTGCATGGTTAGAAAAACAGAGGAAGCCAAGAACAATAGAATAGTAACTATATCTCTGTTTTGTTATATGATTCCTTCTTACAGGTTTTTGGTATCTATATTCTTCCTATCCTCAATACTGTAAAAGGACTAAACGTAGAAAAGGTGCAAATAGTACTATATAACTAACTATAGTATTATGGTAGTGGAGCACAAACTAGCTAACAGAAATATATGACTAATATAAGGTAAAATGCTCCTCAGGTCTTCCTTCAGTAAGGATGCTCTGCATCAACTTGTTTATTTTTTGACATGTTTAATCATTTAATCGATGTTTTCTTTCCCTTTCTGTTATAATAAAAGGTTCCCGAAGGTGTGCTGATTGAAAATGTGAAAGAAACTTAGCATAATATCATTATGCCATGTCATAGTAAAACCACAGTTGGTCATTCCTGGAATTATTGGACCAATTGTTTTTCTTACTAATATTTTATTAGCAAATATCATTACGAATGGTGTTTAATAATGAATGATTGAGATTCTTTGAGATGCTTACTGACTGTGATACTCTCACTCTAATACGTTTTTTGATCTAGTTCGGAGATGAACTTAACCCTGAAGTCTCCTCTTCTATTTCCCTTTTTTTAATAGTGTGTTTTGCACATTCAAAATATTGTAGCTTTGTTCTGGATGTCACATTGACATCATGCTTGTTCTTCTTGTAATTGACATGTCTTCTATGATGGCATCTTCCTATGGGCAGGTTTTGCTCTTCATCCATTTTAGCGAACAATATTTTGATTCATTCAAGTCAAAGTATTTAGAAGTCGCTGAGAACTACAAAGGCAAGAAAATGAGCTTTTTGCTTGGGGATATTAAGGCCAGTGAAGGTGCCTTCCAGGTTATATCTTAAGCAAATTTCTGCGTTTTTTGAGCATCTTATACAATTATCAACTCACAAGCTTTATGTACAAATGTTTCATGATAGCAGTATTTTGGCCTTGTGGAAAGTCAAGTTCCCCTTATCATTCTTCAAGAAAATGATGGGAAAAAGTATCTTAAACCTAACTTAGAACCTGATCAGATTGCAACGTGGCTTAGGGAGTATGTGGTAATGCCTTAGGTGGCTCTAGAGTAAAGCTTTTTGTTTAAAAATTATTCTCCTCTCTTCTCCTCTCTTGGATCACCTGCTTTTGAGCTTCACTTGTTTTGTTTAATTTCTTTAGGATGGGAGCCTTACACCTTTTATCAAGTCGGAGCCAATTCCTGAGCTCAATGATGAACCTGTGAAGGTGGTTGTGGCTAACTCTCTACGCGACGTAGTTTTCAACTCCGGAAAGAATGGTTTGTTGCAAGCAACTTTTATCGTCAAGCATAAAAATGCTTTTATGATTACAACTTAATTCTGGACAATTCCAAAGCATTAATGCCTAACTTAAAATTGTTTCTTTCATTTTGTTTTTCCCACTTTGATTTAAAAGAATTTCATGCAATTGCCTTCCCATGTTCTTGGGAAGATGATAGTAATAATGATGTTGGCATGAATTGCTGCACTAACTTTGGTTCTACATTACCAATTCAATCTTTACTCGAATAACGTTACTGATGTTGATGTTCGGAATGCATATACATTTTTTTAGTAGTCTTGGCAGCTCTAATTCAAATTAAAATATCTAGGATTATCACACTTTTGCTGCTTTTTTAGTTGCTTTAACAGCTTGTTTGCCCCCTTTAATGTATGGAAGACATCTTCATGAAAGAGTTGTTCCCATTTTGTTATATACTTTTTTCGTTTTTCATTCACTTTCCTTCTGTTCTGAGGGATTTTTTCTTGAAACGAGCTTCTACTTTTTGCAGTTTTACTTGAATTTTATGCTCCCTGGTGCGGACATTGTAAGAAACTGGCTCCCATCCTGGATGAAGTAGCTGTGTCATTACACGATGATGCTGATGTCATCATTGCCAAAATGGTATGGCTTGCAATTGGATATTGTAGAGAACTCGTTTGTTTTGTTTCTTTTTTCTCCTCTTACATCATTGGAATATATATATATATATATATATATATAGAGGTTTTTACCATGCCTAGTGTGCACGAACTGCATGGATCTTGGATTAAAGGGAGAAAGAATTATGCTGTGGTAGTGTTTCATTAATTAGAAAATTTTGCTCGACTTTTTCATCAATCTTTGTGGTGATACACGACCAATGACATTTCATTTAGCTCATATCGTATGCCTCATCATGAGTATATAACAATCTCATTAGGATTGAAATGTTTAAAATATTAATCTACTAATATGCAATGCTCAACAAATCTTTCCTATTAAATATTAAGCCACAAGTTAGTTTTCTTTTTACTATTCATTATACTGAAAGGAGCACAAAAATACTGAAAAATTCAACACATTTACAAATTAAATCTTAACGAAAAATTCAAATTAAAATATGAAACTTTTTTGCTTCATTTAAATTAGTGAATGATGAACTTAAGCTGGAAGCATCTTAATCTTGTATATCCACAAAAACGGAAAGAGTGAAGGAAGAAAAAAAAAAGAAGAAGTTCAATCAGTTCAAAAGAGAAAGATTGCCATAACCATTATAAAATTATAAATCTGCGACGAAATCATGTTTTTTCATGATGCTTAGCGGTTATTCATCTATTAAACTTACTACTTTTTGCTTACTAACACTTTCCTTTCTGAAGCATAAGCCGATTAGTGCTATGCTAATTGTCCCTTCATTTTTTCAGTAACATAGTCATAATTCAAAGAAACTTTGATGCAGCATAAGACACCCATAACGCATCCGTTAACAGCTAAAAATTCAGGTCAAATATAAACTAAAATTATATATGTTATAGAGATATAGCTGCCACATTGAGCTTCAATAATGCTGGCATTATTTCTCTACTCTTCAGCCCATCGAAGTTGAGATCCCGCCATAAGTTTTTGTCACTTATTATATATTCGGTTTTATTTATTTGTTACTAAATTTTTTGCTGTGATTTTAAGTTGCTCATACAGTTTACAATTTACCATTGTGGCTATTTTAAATTCGTAGTCATAGCTTTGTTGTTATCTTTTAAAGGCAATATTGTCTAATACATGCGGATTTGCTGTCCAGGATGCGACTGCAAACGATGTACCGAGTGAATTCCAAGTTCAAGGCTATCCAACCTTGTATTTTTCATCTGCTGCTGGGAAGCTATTGCAATATGAGGGAGGTAGAACAGTAGACGACTTCATTGACTTCATAAAGAAAAACAAGGATAGTGTTGTAGAGACTATTCAATCTGATCCCATAAAGGATGAACTTTGATTCAGGTGCGCTCATCTTCTCATTTTCTCCCTCACCCTTTCAATTTCCTTAAACTCACTTAGGCTTGGTTTGGGACAGCTTTCTTACTGCTTCAGTTTATACAATTTTTTTTTTTAAAGCTAGAAAGTAGCTTTAAGAAGCAATAAAAAAACCGTCTCAAACAAAGCCTAAAAGCTAGAAGCTATACAATACATGTTGGTTTCTCATTATATTCTGAATCTATCGGAAGATCATCACCAACTATGAGTTCCTCGACCTCTTTAGTAGTATATCAGTTAAGTGGGTGCCACCGACTAAGGTTTTGTTTGAGACAGTTTTTTTATTGCTTCTTAAAACATCTTTCTAGTTTAAAAATTAAAATCTTTATACTAAAAAGCCGCTTTAAAAAAGTTGCATACGAAAGCTGCTTTATGTACAATGTGAAAAGGTACATACGAAAGCTGCTTTATGTACAATGTGAAAAAGTACATATGAAAGCTACTTTAAATAGCAGTAAAAAAGCTGCTTTAAGAAGCGGTAAGAAAGCCGTGTCAAACAAAGCCTAACTCATTGCTTATATACATATGCCATGATCATGCTGCAATAACTAATGTATGTGATTTATTTGCTGAGCTTCCCATCTGATGCAACTTGTTTTTCTCATTAAAAATTGATAGTATTTGTATAAATCTGACATTTCATTTCATGTGCATTGCAGATTTCTATATGAAGGATGGAAGGGGGTTTTAACATAGCTTGGCGATGTCAAGCATCACTTCACCCAAGTTGCTCATTCAGAAATTTTAATTTTAGAACTTTATTGCATCCAAACAAAAGCCTTAGCTTTTAGTTCGGCAATTCCATCTTCTTTTCCAACATTTTGATAATTAATGAGCGCTTATGTTCGAATGTCTTCCTAAGTTAGATTTTTGAACCTCTTAAGTTTTATTTATTAGCGTTCTCATAGGATTTCTTGCATTGATGCTATGTTGAGGGCTATTCGAAGCCATGTGAGAAATTATTCTGCGCGGATGCTGAACGTAGTTCACCGTCCGATGACCAATCAGAATGCGCCATGTCAGGAGTACCAAGCATGGTACCGAGCGGCAGTAATGCGGCGCATTCTGGTTGGTCTCTGGACGGCGTTTGACATCTGCACAGAATAATTTTTCGTGGTTGTGGCTTGCTTGCGGTTGATCATCCTTTCATCTCTCTCTATTTTATTGTTTATGAAGTATACCTGTCACCTATCGCCTCTCTTTAGTTAGAAGGAATTGAGAAAGAGGGAGATGTAAGGTTGATGGAAACGAAAATGATATAGAAATTAGTTCACCCATTTGGTTAAGGAATTGAGTAAATAATTTATTGTTTTGTTGATGAGTCATATAATAATATGATACAATAAAAAATTTCGTATTATTTTTTTTATTAAGATATAATAAACCTCTTAAGGTTTTTTATAAATTGTATTCATACGTTTTTTAAAAGTTTTTTTTTTCTTTTTTATTATCGAAATTTTGTGGTGAGAAGTTATATTTTATAATCAAATTTATTAGCGTGTGATAGCTTGAAAGAACTTTTGTCCAAAATTTTCAAAAAATAAAATATTTAGGGTATGTTAAGGTTAGCTATTTCACTCATAACTTTTCAAATTGTAGTCACACTCATCCATTTGGCTATCGCTTATTCTAATATTGGGACTATATGAGTCGAGAAGATTTAACCATATTCATCAAGAATAGAGAAACAAAATAGGAGTCATTTGCTTGGTCTGAACTGAAGGTCACTTGCCCTTTAGGATTATCAACCCCAACTAAAGGGGCCACTCAACTCAACAAGAGGGTAAGGGCGTCTCCAATCGAACGTCATTTTATCCATAACGGTCGTTCGTGTGTTTCTTTGACAAGTTCGGTATAGACCAAAAAAATGGCGAAGATGAATAGTGCGACGCCAATATTGGCGTCGCACTATTCATCCGCGATCAAATGGTGTCAAAAATGACAGTCGGTTGGAGCAAAGCAAGAACGACAAATACTTGTTTGCCGTTTCATTGGAGTTGCCCTAACTCGTCCTATCTCGAGAGGAGCCATTCACTTGGTCAATAAGAGAAACCTATATATGCCTATACAAAGCTAGCGACTTCATCTATTGATAGCCTTGAGGCTCAATCATATTCTTGATATTGTGAAGCATCCTAATCTGCTTGGGGTGTTCTTGTTGGCTGCTCCTAGACTATGACAAATGATATAACACCCATGCCTCTTCCCCTTAGATGATCATACTAGCAACCTCTTTCCCGTGAACAATCATACTAACAATCATGAAAATATTTGCCTCTCTGACTGGAGAATTATTTTGTGCGGAGGCCGGACGTCGAATGACATCCAGAGAGCAGAATGCGCTACATCAACGGTACCGAGCCGCAGTACCGAACGAAGGGATACGATTACGTGGATGTATTTTTAATCCTCCGACTGATATATGATTTTTGGATGTATTTTTATTCATTTTATGTTCAGTTTTTGGATTTTGGATTTCTTTTTGGTTGCTGTATTGTGGACTTGTGGTGCGTCAATCTTTGTAATTAATTTTTCTATTGAATGAAATTAGGCTATGTTCCTAATTAAAAAAAAAAAACTTTACGTTCTTTATGAGAAAGTTTTTTGTTATCGCAAATCAAATCTTGAGAGAAGTACATGCATGATCCTTTCCACAATTAGAGGAACGAATCAAAGCACTTTCTTTACCTTTTCAGCAAAATCAATCTAAGTAAAAAAGGAAACGAAATGTAAACCAAAGTACATACGGAGAGAATATTAGAAATAACAAAATTTATGAATAAATAAAAGAAAAAAATAATAATAAAAATTGATAATTCATTCAATAATCAATTTATTTTAAAAATATACAATAGAAAATCACTTTTAAGATATAATAAAATTAAGAATATGCTTGGAATGACTTTAGTATTTTTTATAAGCTGATTGTGAAGTTATTATTGAGAAAATAATTGAATTAGCTTCATTTGGGACAATTCACTTACTGTTTTCTGAACCAACTTTTTAGTACTAAAATTTCTTGAGATGCTAAAAAATTAATTTAGAAAATAGTAAGAAAGTTATCCAAAGAAATCCTTAATTTGGTTACATAAACAACCTTTCATCAAAAAAATTATCAAAATAATGTAAAAGTAGTAGTAAAAAAAAAATTGTGCTAAACAATAAAGCAACAAGAAAGCTATCTCAAGCATACCCTAAACCGACAAATATCTATATATAAATATATGAGAGATTTTTGATGGCCTTGTTTTAGCTATTTATCTGGCTAATAATTTTTCCATCCCAATATTTATGAGAATTTTAAAATTTGAAAAAAAAAAAAAGTCACGGTCTCACTATAAAGTTTAAGAAATTAGTAAGTAAGAGTCAAAAATATTTGTGGTAAGATGATACTACAGGACAAATGCGTGTTAACGGTGGACAAAATCCGTCGAAAAATGTCCAAAATCTATGGGGAATAAGCATTTCCAGCATAAAATTGTTTGATGGTAAAACGCACCTCGGAAAGATGTTACCGTAAAATAATCCTTAGAAAGATTTCCAGCCAAATTCCGCCGGAAATCAGAGTTTTTACTGCAGCATGATGAGAGAAACTATTAGATTAGGATGCAGAGTGAAAGCTAAAAGAAGGGGTAAAGAAAATAAGGGGATTACTGCTGCCATGCTTGCAACTGAGAGGGCTATGGTTGTGGTATCAGTGCTCCTTGTTTCGGCTATAGTTTCTCCAGTTTCGATTGAATTGGGTAGTTGTGATCTTCATTGCAGGTTTCATGAGAGGGCCTTTGCAGCGCCGAAGAGCTCTGGCTTCATGCTCTTCGAGCATGAGATAGTGGGGAGGATGATAGTAGATCTCCAGGCTCAAGTGGATAAAGGAGTGAAGGATAGGGATAGGCTTTTGAGCAGTGTGGAATTGCTGAGGAGCAGTTCAGTTGGGCTGAAAGAAGGGGTAGAGAAGCTTGATGCTGCTATTGATGGTGGGCTTGAGGTTGTGATAAGAGGGAGGAATGAGATTCTGGGAGTTTTGAGCGTCAGGGATCGATCTTTCTATGAGGTGAAACTTAAACCCGGTATATGAGTCAAACCGGCTCGCAGGCAGGCACTTAATTACTTGACTCATTAATCCGCTCATAAGCCGAGCTTATCAAGTCGTGAGCTCGAGTTCAAACTTTGATTATAGCTCGAATGATATACAAGCTTACGTTCGAGCACATCTGGACTCAGTTTGTTGACTCATGAGCTGCCTCATATATTTCGATCCTTTTTATAATAAAAGAAAGATAAAGTAGTTGTTATTATTATTATTATTTTTAAAAAGAGTTAAAGCTATGAAATTAAAGTTGCTGTAAATTTTATTATTATAGTTGTCCTAAAAACTATTGCCGCTATAATGCTATCATTTAAAAAAAAAAAAAAAGAGAGAGAGAGAGAGAGAAAGAATAAATTTCTTGTTGATGCCTTCTCCACTGAGCTGTGTCCCGATTTCTCTTTAACATCTTCTCTAGCGAGCTACCAGATGCCATCTAGGTTGTTGTTGTCATGTCTTCTCCTACAAGTTATTGAGTTCAGCTCAAGTAAAGAAGGATTTTAAAAGGTCGATCTAGCTCGAGCTCAATACATGAGTCGATCTCAAGCTCGAGTTCAACCATACCTTTGATGGGATGAGCCGAGTTTGACTTAGGTTTGATTGAAGCTCGACTCAAAACTCGACTAGATTACACCACTAGCATACATACATACAATTATGTCAAGATTGAGAATGTATGGGTGTTTTTAGTTGAAAAACAAAAAAATGACCGGTCTGCTAGTAAAGGGGAAAATTTGAGATGGATTTTACTTTTTATTTTTGCTTAGCATGTAAAATAGTATTGCGCCGTAGTGCCACCTCAGCTTAATATCATTGAATTATTTTTAAAATTTCTAGAGAGCTCAGCACCGCAGCAGTGCTTTCCTGATGCTTCCTAGCATCACAACGCTCCAGTTCAGAATTTTCAATTTAAATTTATTTTACAAATTTTAGGCTGTTGCATCTCCCTCCTTTGTCGTTGCTTAAATTTCCTTGGCCTCAAAATCGAAATCCTTAAACATCATGTTAAATTACACACTGGAAGCTATTTCACAAGTAAATTCTATGATAACCATGGTGATTGTAGTGGAAACAAGTTGCTTATTTATCTCACTAGTAAATCTTTTCTATTGCAAAAATAGAGTTTATTTTAAGCACTTCATGGTTTCAAGAAGTCAAAGTTTTTTACTGTTATGGTTAAAGATTCAGAAAGCTTATAACCTTCAAATTCCAATCAACTTGAATCCGACCTGTTTAATAAACGGGTCAAAACCATTAATTCGAATGACTTGCTAGCAACCTAAATGACTTGAACTCAACCCGTTAACCTATTTTGGTTAAAAAAATTATTTAAATCAATACAATTGTAATTTTTTAAATCAATAATATATGAAAAAACTAACACGGACGGTCCGCGGACATTTCCGTTCGGTAACCGCACTATCAAGTAACGGCGCCTGTCAGTATTATGCCAAACCGCGCGAGATCCGCGACGGCAAATATCCGGTATCCGATAGGCTTACCAGCGCACCGACCGATCCCGGCGTTAGACTTCGACCAACATTCAACACGACCCTCCGTTACCAACTTAAGTAAGGAACTGGGCAACTGAGTCCACTCTAACCGCACCCAATACGTTCCATCGATCGACAACCCTCTCCAGCCACAAGTCCCGTCTTTGGTCCCCAACTCGGGTCTTTTGTTCTGTACATGCTACTGCTTCCACTTCCTCAATATACCCCCCATAATACGTGAGAAGGTAAAGCAGTGAATCTTTCTTTCGAGGTTCTTTACTCTCGCTCTCCGCCTCAGATCTCGGAGAGGCAGACTCGGTGAGATCTTTGCTCTGCAAAGCGAAGAGATTGCATCGATGGTGCGGGAAATGGAATGGGCGGCGTGAGGAGCGGCGGGGAGAGGACTGGAGCAGAGATATGGCGCCGGGGATCGTGCCCGCCGGGAGCTGGATTAAAGCGTACAGTGGAATGTCGGTTGATAATGTGAAGGGGCTGGTGCTTGCACTGTCCTCAAGTTTCTTTATTGGCGCAAGCTTTATTGTTAAGAAAAAGGGGCTGAAGAAGGCCGGGGCATCCGGAGTTCGGGCAGGTAAAGATCCTACGTTCATTGGATCTGAACTGTGCGTTTCTGGAACTTATCTAATTTGGCTTGGAGATTAGTATCGTTTCTGGATGCTATCGGTTTCAGAGCTGTGGATTTTTGCTGATTTGGTATTTTGATGCGGTTTCCTCGGTGCTTTTTTATTTTTATTTTTTGTTTTTGATAGCTTGGGCATGGGGTAACTTGTGATTTATGAGGGTGCTATTTCACGGAAATGGAAAATAAAGTCAGTCCGTAGGGAAAGAAATCAGTTTGAAGTGCAGAACAGTATTACTGTTAGTGGCGGCTGTAGGCTGCTTGATGAAGTTGAGTGTTATTCGTTCTGAACATTTTCATGGAAATATGTAGAATGGATGGGGAAGTTTGATGGCGTCAATTTTATACTATACATATTGGAGAAGTTTTGTTGCTTGCCGGTGAGGCTTCTATAAACCGATAGAATTTAATGATTTTCTTCATTGTAGCTTAAAGTCCTAGCATGCACATACAATAGCAGAAAGAAGGATTTTTATGTGGAAAAGAACTGGAGTGTAAAAACCATGGTGTATGATCCTATTGAATAGTTTCCGCTATTTTAGTTAAAAATAAGTACAAAGATGGTTGGAAAGACTTTGGTATAAGCCTATAAGGTACCTCTTAAGCAATCACTGATGATGACACTAAGGGCACCATTGTTGGTCTTCCCATGTCAGCTATAACCACAACAGAAACATGAATAATGGTCTCTCTTGTATTGTCAGCACATATTGGGATATATTGCTTGTTGCAGTCTTTAATATTTTCTGTTCTTTGCATAATGAGCGATGTTGTCAATGTTTGAAGTAGCTATTGCGGTGTTAGGATAGTTGGATTGAGAGATGAACGACATTCAATCTTCAAGTGATGGAGATTGGTGCTATCAAGCTGTTGCATGCAACACTTCCGTTGTTGCTATTTCGGTTGCGAGATTGTATACGCAATATCAGTGTAGTCCAAAGGTCATATGGTAGTGGGTGGCTCAATCATTGTCATTGTATGTAGAGAGTTTGACTCTATCATTAAGGCAAATAAGATGATCATTGTCGGCTTGTTATCAATGATGGGGAGTTTCTCAAGTGCTCTTTCCATTGTAGAGAGAAATATGCCAACTGAGTTAGAAACTGAGTTATATTTGTAAATTTCACAAGGAGTATTTTGATTCTTATTCTAGATATTCTTCGCAACTATCATTAACAATCAACAAAAATTACATTATTCCATGACCTAGTCATGATTGGAAGACATTGCTTATCAGCTTACTCAACAACTCCTCCAAACTAATCTTCCATCGCCAACTGTCAACAATGTATTCAATCAGTGATGTAAGCATACCAGGATGATTTCATCAGCGGAGAAGGGTTGAAGTTTTAATTATTGAATTGACATGAATAATTCTGCGAAAGTTTGTTGTCTCTTGAATGAACCCTTTGGCATTTGACGATAATGTTTCATTATTTTTATATGGTTCATCCTATTCTCGAGAGGAATATTGAGACAAACATATTGTGAAATAGCAAAATATCAAATTCATGATAACTTTGGGAAGTCTAGTGATAGGAAATGCTTTAGGTTGCAAGTAACCCTAATGGGAAATACTTGAGTTCGTTAGCAAACCTAACAATAATCGGTAAAACAACAAGAAAACGGAAGAAAATATGGTGGAAAAACAATCAAACGATAGATAGTCTTATAGAAATCAAAGCGAAACAAGAAAGAAACAAAGATACAATTAATCCTCAATTCGAGAGGAGGACCATTCTCTCCCAATCTCTAAATGATGAATCTATAGCTCAAAACCCAAAGAGAACTTCAAGAGAATAACTCAAATCATGCATGCCCTAACCCTAGCCTCCTCTTCTCTTTTAATACATGTCTTCTTAGTAAAAGCTATTAAAAGATTTCCTAAAACAAACATTAATTCAAGTAGTTTCCTTATGTCCCTTCCCTCTCTCTCCTAGCCTCCCGGGGGGCGGGGGGGCGTGATTGGGCGGCCATCATAGGAGGCGGCTTAGCCGGCCTCCTATAGGTATGAACCGGTCCCACCTGGGCTAGTTTGGATGGTTCAGCCAGAACCGTAACATCTAGAAATTCTAAAATAGTTTGCGCAATAATTTGTGCATACTGGCGCAATTAGAGCTACTATCATGCTGCTTGCAATGAGGAGATTGGGAGGCTGGTTAGGTTTCTCTTGGCACGTAACTCTATTCGCAATGTACATAGGGTGAATGATAACTCAATTAGGCTGACCAAACTAGCTTGAACTAAGCTAGATGTCCTCAGATTGACCAATTGGGTCAGTTTCAAACTTTCCAAAATCTAATTCAAGTGATCTAGGTGTCGACAAATTCCATTCAACACTATAGATCTTTTGTGTTGGATGTCATGCTCTTCTGAGAGCTTATATCATCTTTGATGCAGCGAAACTGAGTAATGTTCAAATTTTGTAATTGCTTGATGTTCTTGTTTTTGGTCAAAATTCATACTAATCAATTGGGCTGTTTCATGATCCAAAAAGCATAGTAATACACTAGTACTTGCATCTGCATAAGCCTAAATAGCCTTGATTGAATTGATTACTGTAGACTTACAGTTCTAGTATCATCTTCTGTGAGAATTTTGTTTTGTTAGCTTGAAATCTTAGCTGGCTTTAGCTAATGCAAAATTTTATGATATTATTGATAGCTATTGATCACTTCTGGAGCTGTCCATCTTCAGTTTCTTGAACATTTGTTTGATATTTGAAAGAACATATTTTAGTTGAGGTTGCTGTTCGGTTTGGTTATCATAGATTTTTGGATGTGCATGGTGCTGGTAGTAGTTCAGCCCTCCTAATCAAGTTGTACAAAACCACTGCAGTGCTCATTGCATGCTATGGCGGACATTAGGGTGCTTGATCTTGGAAGAAAATTCTGTTATCTCAGGTCTGTTTTACTGCGAAGCTACCACTACATGATTGAATGATCTGAATTGATGTAACTTGCACAAGACTTGCAATTGAAACTGCACATACTAGAACTTCTAGGGCATGTGGGCTATGGCTATGCTGTTTTCATGAATACCTTATATGAGATTTGCTTCAAGTGCAGCTGGGAATGGCATAGCATTGTTAGGCACACTTATGCGAAGAGTATCTAACCAAATATACTGACATTGATAAGGTTGAATTTTGAAGGTCACCTATAAAGCAAACCTGTAAGACGAACAATGCTATAAGGTTGAATTTTGAAGAGTCTATTGGTTAACTAAGGCACTTTATAGAATAATGATCTAATGATCGAAGATGGACTACTTATTGGAAAAATTTCCTTTTTTAGACATAATTTTCATTTACCCTAGTAATCTATGGCCTTATTTTCTATTGTTTTCCTGAGAACAATCTTAGATGATCATTGAAAGACGATTTCCTCCTTTGTATCAAGGTATGCAAGCCTTGAAAGAGAAGCCGTAATTGGTACCTGCCTATGCTTTAGCCTGGGGATGGATTTAAGCTGTCAATGAAGACGGGACATAGCTTAGCATAGTACCATTGTTTGTTCAGTGATTTCGTGCCTTACAGTGAGAAAATATGTTGAATGAGCAACTTCAAACCCATACCTATATCATGGCTCCATGCCACATGGGGAAATAGGAAAGGTGAAAGTGCAGATTCATCAGAGAATTCAATAAATTATACACAAGTGTGACTTGATATTTTGATTTTATACTGAAATTCAAAATGAAATTGTACCGCCTTTTTTACAGAAGTTGCATGACCTGATCATTTCTATTTGAATTGTTTTTGTATCAACTTTTTGCCAATTTTACCTGACTGATACTAACATATTAATTAATAACCTGTTATTTGGATTAATAAATTTCAGTAATTTATGACTGTTGACTAGATTGTTTTGAAGGGCGACAGTTATGTTGGAAAAGACTTGAAGCATACTTATTATAAATGTCATAGCGCAGGAAATTTAATGTGACTGTTATGTTTTGGGAAAGTGAAGTAAAAGGAATTCTTGAGTAATGATGTCTTTAAGATAGTAATTGGAGTTAATGTGCAGGCATAATGTGAATGACCACTGTGAAATCGAGTATTGTATGGTTTACGGTTTAATCTACATAATACAGCTTCCGTGATTGAATAAGTTGGCTCTTGGAAGACACAAAAAAATGAGAAATTTCCAATTCAACGAAATGGTAAATCAATTCCATCTTTGGAACCAGGATCACAATTAACTGATTACTAACTGCAGAGATATGATGGATAATCCATGAGGACACCCTAATTAAACTAATGATTTATTTTAGACTTCTTTTATCCATTGGTTGGTATTATTGATTGGTGCTCAAGTGGCTTCCCCATGTATTTATATTTCTAAATTTGTCAAATGTCTTGCTTGTAAATTATTTGATTATTTTCCTTTTAACTTTACATGTCCTTATGTTAAATGAGTTTTTTTGGTTTATCTTAGGTGTTGGTGGCTATTCTTACTTATTTGAGCCACTTTGGTGGGTAGGAATGATTACAAGTAAGACTCTGTTTATTTATTTATTTTGCTACCTCCCTTTTTTAAGCCATCTTTCTTCTTTTCAATTTTAAATTTCTGAAATGGTTTGACATGCTAACTACATCAAAGATCGTGCCAGCTTATCATCAATTTCAAACATTTTGCTACTTGGTAGGGACACTTAATGATCTTCTTGTATAAGAAGATTCATTGAGGCATGATTAGAGCTCAGTCTTTATTGCTCTTGTTGGGCGAGCAGTCTTATATAGACAAAGCCATCTTACAGCTTTTTAATCATCCACGTCTAAAGTTTGTATTTTGAACACTAATTTCTTTCCATCTGGTAGGCAATTTTGACATTCTAGTGGTCACTATAAGGAAATATAAGGTTTTATTTATATGTACAAATCAGCATATCATGAGTCATGAAAAAAAAAATTTAGTAACATACTTTTCCTGATTATATTTACTTATCTTTTGTTTTATTAAGCAAAGCTTCGTAGCCCATAATGAACAATTAATGCCAACCCATCTAATAGACTATCTAGTAATAAAAAATCTACTAATTGATCTTGCATGTCTTTCTACAAATCATATGCTGTACTTAAATATGGCACAAAGTTTAGTCGAAGAATCAACATGGCTACTATATGAATTCTAATGGAAAAGTTACAGCACAAAATTGTACATGGATGCCCCTTATTATATGATATATATTAGAATAGACCTGTCAACATCAAAAAGTAAGTGCCTTTTGATAACTTATAGTGCAACAAGATCTTTGGTGCAGTTTTGAGGTATAGAATCATGAGCTTATTCGTGCGGAATGACCTTTTACAGTACAAGTTGATGATCATACAATTAGGAACCATGTAGTTTTTAGAGTTTTCTGTAACTAACACTTTTGTGTGGTAATGCAACAGTGATCGTTGGAGAAATAGCAAACTTTGCTGCTTATGCATTTGCCCCAGCTATTCTGGTTACTCCACTTGGTGCACTTAGCATTATTATCAGGTATGACTAGTCTCACAACAAATTAACATTTCAAAAATATCTTTGTAATCATTTTTATATAATCATTTTTATAGGGGCTTTCTGCTCTTGCAGTGCTGTTCTAGCTCACATTATTTTGCGGGAGAAGCTTCACGTATTTGGTATTCTTGGCTGTGCACTTTGTGTTGTGGGGTCAACTACAATTGTTCTTCATGCACCACAGGAGCGTATGATCGAATCTGTGAAGGAAGTGTGGGATTTGGCTACTGAGCCAGGTTGGTAATTACCATTACCTACCTAACCAGGAAATCATTTTATGTAATTCAACACTATAGCTCTTTTTAATGATTTAGTTGGAATTGCAATCTAACACGGCTATGTATGCTGCAGCTTTTCTAGTTTATGCAGTTATAGTCATTGCAGCAGTACTTGTACTTATATTATATTTCGTGCCTCAGTATGGGCACACGCATATAATGGTGAACATTGGAGTTTGTTCTCTTGTAGGTTCGTTGTCGGTACGTAATTGCTTATGCTATTTACAAAATACAGGTTCTGTGTAGCATTTGGTATAATTTTTTAAAAAATTTGACATTTTTGCCGTTGTCCTCAACAGGTAATGAGCGTGAAAGCTCTTGGAATTGCCTTAAAGTTGACACTTTCTGGGATGAATCAATTAGTATATCCCCAAACATGGACTTTTACTATGGTTGTTGGCATATGCGTGATCACCCAAATGAACTATTTAAATAAGGTAATTTGTTGCATTTTCCTTTTGAGTTTATACAACCTTGCATTCTGGGCCTATCAATATTTCTCTAATTTGAAGATTGCTGCTTTTGTATAAATGGAACATCCTTAACAGACTCACTTGTCAAATTACATTCTGATTTTGTTATTTATTTGCACGCTTTCCTTATGAAGAAGGTGCTATTTTTTGAAAAATAATAAATAATTTCTTAATGATGCATTTCTTGCACAGATAAAAAGAATAATAACGTATTCTAAATAAATCCACACATAAAACGAGGCCAAAATAGTTAATGCTTGAAAAGAATGTGTTAAATTAATGATCTTCATTGATATTCATATATGAATTAAGAACTTCATATCTAAGTAAGACACCTCATATATCCTAGATGGTATTATTTGCATGCACATTTCTTTCCAAGAAGGCGCTAATTTCTGAAAATTAATAAATGATATCTTAAAGAGACATTTCGTGTACAACTAAACAGAGTAGTAATGGGCTCCCTTATGGTTTCTGGTAGACCAAATTCGAATTTATTAGTTCATTCTATAAAAGAACGTGTTAAATAACATCCATTGCTGTTCATATATAAAATAAGGGCTTTATATCTAATTAGAAGACCTTAAATCTGATAGGATATATCTCATCAGCGTCAAAAGATCTGAGGGAGATCTTTTAACACTTTTTTTAATGGTATTAATTAAAGACAAGTTGATGCCCCATTTTAAGTCGAACTATTTGGGAATTGTTGCATTACTTTACTCATAATGATGATATCACCACACAAAATGGAAGAGCAATGTAATAAAACCTGAAAAAATGTATTAGTAAAAGACTAGTGCATAATAACTAAATCCACACTAAAATAAAAAATTAAGATGTCATTAAATGAATAGCATTTCATTCATTATTTTACATTATATTATAAAAATAGTAATGATGTAATAATTCAGAACACTTTCACAAACCATTATACTTTTTTTTTTGTGGGAAAGTCAAGGGCCAAGTACAATTTCATTACTGTAAAAAGGTTACAAAGAAACTATGAGAACTATGACTACTCAATAGAGTAGAGACATGTGAGAGCTTCTTTAAAAAAACTGGTAATGCTCAATGTACAATATAAAAAAATAAAAAGGTACTACTAAGTATGCCCAAATAGAGGATGCTATAAAAAAGAAACAAAATAGCAAGAGAATAAAACTATCTAGACTCAGACAGAATTAAAAAAAAAACATCATGGCCAGGGATGTAACCCATTACCCATCATCATCATCCAGAGATTAAACAAAACAGTGAAGCCCCACAGCAGCAAAAATCTCCAAAATAGTGAACAACAGACTTTCATTTTTTTCTCATGAAGTTAATAAAAACATCCCAGTTTTTCCAATTTGAAAGCTTTAGCGATGAAACATGCTTACATTCCCAAAGAATAGAAGAGTGGCTCTTAAATTGATGCCCAAATTTCTTCGAACTACGTTCCCTCCAGAGGTAGTAAAGCAATCATAAGAAAAAAAATCATTCTTAACGTGAACTAGTAATGAACTATCACCATCAAAAAATTCCAGCACTTCCTCAAGTTTAGGCCGAAGCATGAAGGATGAGAGCAAAGGTATGAGGTTGCATAGTAATTGGTAGGAAACATCACATTCGAAAAAAAGATGGTTAACACTTTCATGAGAAGCCATACAAAGAGCATAAATTGGTGTAACCTGAATATTCCTTTTTATCAAAGCATCTGCTGTCTTAAGACCCTCCTTGAGGTCCAACCAACCATAAATAGAAAATCGAATTGAATGTTTTTTGTGCTAGAGTTGCTTGTGCCAAGAGATAGGTAAAGCATTAGAATAATTAGAAAGGATAGAAGTCTTAATCCCAGGCTTGTGCTTTCCCTGCCAAAGGTAACCAGAAGAGAGCATCTAGGATGGGAACCGATGCATGCCTAAGATCCAATGGAAAGGAGGTAGGGAGATCCCAAACCGTGATAGTTGAAATTGCAATTGTAAATTGTATCTTATGTGAAATGAACAAGATAAAAAGTGTTACCAATATAACTAGTAACTCAGAATAAAAGTAAGGACTAGTTTTATTGCTCTTTTGACCAAGAAAGAAGATACATTGAAGAGAAGGTTGAACTTTTTTATAGCATTACACGTGCTTACAATATGTCTAAGCAAAACACCAAAAAAAAGAAAAAAAAAAAGAAAGAGAGAGCACTTTATTGAATTGCTCATGATTGATAGGGCTTAGGGCACATGTTCCTAAGGAAAGATGTGGTCAAGGCGCTACCCAGTTGAAATTTTTTTGATAATCAATGGTTTTGTGTTGCAGTGGCACCTAGTCTCAACTCTTAATAGAGTACTTGAGACACCATATATTGTGATAGGAAGTACTTTTAGATCTTAAGTATTTCCTATAAATCTTCGGAAAACAACGAGCTTTCTCCACAAGAATTCACACAAAACCAAAAAAACAGTAGAAAATTTGTATTATTTGATGAAATAGAACTGAAAAATAGCAAAATACAGTTTATCCTCAATTCAAGGGGAGGATCGATCTCTCCCAAATCTCTAGATGCCGCTAGAGCCCAAAGGAAAACCTAAATCTAGGAGATCTCAAATTTCAGCCAAATTCAAGATGCCCTAACCTTAGAAAAATAAACTATTTAATGCATACAATTCAAAAGAAAATCTCTAAACAGTCCCTACATTCAAACTTCGCTCCCAAAATCCTAAAAAATCCTTCCAAACAGCCCCTGAAAGCTTGCGGCATGCATTCGGCGCGTACAAGAGGGCAGAGAGTTCTGTCTGTTTTGCATAAGCCGGTTCGACGGGACCGGCTGGACCGTAGCAAGTGAAGGAAATGAAATGAAATCTAAAAACCTGAATAAGGTAAACACTTTTCTCGTAGGTTGTTACCTAAATATTGTTACCTGAATCCGTAGCTTAGCAAATTTATCCATGATCTGCATTCTTCAAATTCAGAAGACACTTTTCTCGTTGGATTATTTAACTAGGCTTTTGCTAAGGATGCAAATTCCCTGAGGTTTTGTTTGGATTTAAGGCAAGTGAAGGAAATGAAATGAATTCTAAAAACATTGTAGGTTGATTATGAATCTGTAGCCATTGATTTGAACTTTTCAAACTTTTTTTAATTTCCTTTCACTCAAATTCCTTTCATCCAAACACAGACTAAGCTTTGAGCCTTTGACAAATGGGCTCCCACTTGGAATTATGCATGTTGACTCATGCACCTGTGCTTTTTAACCTATAGTAGTAGAATGATTAAGTTACATTTCTGGTAGTTCAATTTAGTTTTGTATCTTATGAAATAATTTCCTATCAGTAATAGTACATTTCATAATTAAAGTTTACCAGGCACATCTCTTGTTGACTGCATTGTATGAAACTAAAGAGAATTATTTCTGCATGCAAAACTAGGGAGCATTATCAACTTGATTTTAATGTGTGATATGCCACGTGAAAGAAAATTTAGTGGCATTTGTTCAAATACTTAACTTTTGTCCTTTTTTTTGCAGGCACTTGATACATTTAATACGGCCGTGGTTTCACCAATATATTATGTGATGTTCACATCATTCACTATTCTGGCTAGTGTGATCATGTTCAAGGTATTTGCATGTGCTTTTCTCTTTGTTTTTAAAGAAATAAATTTGTAGGTTGGTGTTGAATTATCTTTTCTTGCAGCAACATTGTCTCTGGGAGGTTAATCTGCTTTATTTTTTTAAAACATTTTAATTGGTTTGGCTGATAGGCATGAGAGTGCAGGCTAGGTTTAGGTAAAAAATTTCAAAGTTGTGAAGTTAGTAAGGGTTGGTCTCATGAAGCCAAAGACTTTTAAAACCATGCTGAAGTTGTTTCTTCTGTGAGCATAAGCTAGGGGTTCATAAGAAGGGCATTTATGCATGAAATTATGAAGGTTTCTTGCAATGTTGTGAAATCGGATCAGACAATGAACCGGATGAAGGAGATGTTAACAGTTCCATGGTTCAATCGGGGTTCAACGGGATGACGCAATAAATATTAATTTTATTTAAATATAATATAGTTGAGATAATAATGATCCAATCAATTGAAATATGTGAAAAAATAAAACAAAATAAATAACTATGAAGTATAAAACATAAATAATACATTCTTTTTAAAATTATAAGCAATAAAGCCCATATAGCTTTATTGAGAAACTTCTACTTAATAGAACACTTAAGACTTCTGCCAATTCTCTAATAAGGATGGATGTCTTTAGCCATTTCGATTCCCTTGAATAGGAGAAGGTTAATGCATGGTCTCTTTCTCTCCAAACAACTACAACAATTGTGAAGATGGCAATTACAACAACTAAGGTTAAATATTCATTTAGCTTTAAAGAAGATAAAACCTAATATGAAAATGAAGAAAAAAATTAAAAAAAAAAAAAGAAAAGAAAAGAAGAATGGCATACATAAACATAAAACTTGTATACTTGTTTACCTTATTAAAGTTAGGAGACACATGATTAGTCTCCAATGTTGAAGACCAAATAGAAGGAGATATGCCTAAATAATTTGACAAATATTTATCTAGCACCAGATATGTGAGGAAAATTAAATTAAAAAATCACCAATGAAAAGATAAATGCAAATGAAAAAAATGAACAAGTATAAAAATAGAAGTAGAAAAATACTTAATGAATTTGTAGGAGAACTCCTTTAAATAAGAGCGAATTGGAGACTATTCGAGCATAGTGAGCAGTAATTGCCATCTCATTTATACAATTATAATTCAAGAAAAATAAGAAACTGTGTGAAGAATTAGTCTTAAAAATATACAAAACCATTTTATTTATGATCTTATCATGATTTATATTTTGTATTCGATCTATTCATTTTTAACAACAAACATAGCCATGGCCTCTCATATGGATCTCTTCCTCTTTCCCTTCCCCCACTTCTTATTTTTGTCCCCCTCTCTCTTGAGCTAAGAACAAATTAGCAGGAAAGGGACCTCTCACACAAGGAACAAGATTAGATTTTTTTTTCATAAAACTAAACAGGTTAATAGGGGAATTGAGCAGTAATTGTATTGTAGCTTAGAATAGTAAAGCTAGGAGGTGAGCAAATAGATGGACCTATGATGGGTGATCAAACTTAAAACTTCTGCCACAGCCAATGGGAGGCAAACTGACGAACCTGTGATGGAGTGTGAAGCTTCTGAGAAGCACGATAACCTAAATACTGAAGAAAAATCTAGTAGACAAATATGACTAAACGAGAACGAGAGAGACAGTCGCAGCGTGGGAGGAAATTACACAATAAGCTTAGGGTTATACGGTTTTAGTTTTATGAAACACATTCAGAAAGTTCATTTCGACCCTTCGATTTGCAATTGACGGGGCCCTTTGATCACGTTTCAAATCGGGCTGTTCTTTCAAATATGGCCGGTTCATCGGTTTTAAGGTTGAATCGCCGGTACGTCCGGTTTTTACCCGGTTTGAGCTAGAACAGTTTTGTTGATAGGTCGGACCTGTTATCTAGCCAATTCCCGTTGAACCAACCAGCAGCCATGTCCGGTTTTAAAAACCTTGGTTTCTTTGTTCTTTGACTCGATGAATATATTAGAATTGAATTTTAAATTCATTTATGTTTCTCAAAACAAAGTGTTACTTTGTAGGTTAGATTTCTCAAGAATATGTGTTGGAAGTGTTCCTGCTTTTACCATAAATCAGCTGCTATAGTTTGTTCACATGCTTTGGACTGGGGCTGAGAACTAGGAAATATGGCATATATTATTCACCTCCATCAGCATAAATTAAAAAAAAAAAAAAAAGATCTCTGAAAAAAATACAGCAGAAAATAGAAGCTACTGAACAGCATCGAACAATCTAAAGCTATAAACAAATTTCCTAAGAGAATTTTCAAATTTTTTAGATAATAAAAATCAAATAGTCGAGCCTTTGCAGATGAATCATGAAAGTTTTCCCCATAAAATATATTGGAAAATTTTCTCGAAAAAAATCCACTCACAACTCGTATACACTCATCATCATCTTAACAATGTAGACTGCATGGTTTGCATTGTCATCATCGTGCATCACCAGCAATATCATTTGCATCTCACTCAATCTTTGTTTCCACTCATCATTAATGACGATGGTGATGTCTTCGTTAAAGGACTTGCCATGGAGGAACAGGGCAAATTATTACGTGCAGAGTCCGAACGTCTTCTAGAGACCAATAAAAATGCGTCACGTCACCCCAAAAGTGTACCGCACTATATACCGCGTGTCAGTACAGCTCGGTACCAAGCAGTGCCGGACGGTTCTCCCATCCGGTGTCCGCACAGAATAATCTCTCGAGGAACAGAGGCAAATTGACTACCAAAGTGGATGGAGGAGGTTAATTTTGTACTGCTGAGGAATGGAGGATATTACACCAACATGGAGTCTGAGATGTAGGGGCGGATCCCCATTAATTTTGAAGCCGATATGGAAGTCAACGGCAACAAATCAAAGACCTGCATCTCCGCATCACGGCAAGGAATCAAAGACCTGCATGGAAGGAGGTTGGGATGACTGGTGATAGCTCACATCAAGGAGGAAGCATCGAGAGTAAGCTTGTGGATGAATCACAGAAATGTTGTGAGACAAAGAAGATCTGAGAGTTGGCAGCCAGGCAAAGTTCTCTAAAATACGTTTCCTAATGCAATACGGGCTTAATGGCTTAAAGGGCATTCCTATTTAAAAGACTGGCTAATAAAAAGACTTTCTAGTACAGCATGTCAAGTGCCAATTTATTAAAATTTATAGCACTTGACAGTCTATACTAGGGGTGTAAGTGAGCCGAACCGGCTCGCGAGCCGGCTCGAGCTCGACTTGTTTATGAGCTCGTGAGCCGAGCTTATCAAGCCTCGAGCTCGACAAGGCTTGGCTCGCGACCGGCTCGAAATTATTAAATTTAAATATTTAAAAAAATTAATAATAAGGCCATACCGATAGCTTAAATTTTTGCCCGTTGAAATTTAAAAATCCTACTTGAAATCTTGGAAAACCACCTGAAATTATTCTCTCCTCTTATTTGGCCCCTCTTATCTATAATAAATGCAAATTGCTAAAATTCATTTCCTCTTCTGTCAAATCTAAAAACAGCCTCAAATCTCAATACTCTCTCTCTCTCTCTCTCTCTCTCTCTCTCTCTCTCTGTGCAATTTTACTTTTAAGGTAAATTAAAATCGAGAATTAATTTTTTGGAAGATCGTGCCATGCTTCTTGGAAGGCAAACCGGACCTCGTTTGGGGCTCGACGAGCGGCTCGAACTCGATTACAATGGAACGAGTCGAGCTCAAGCTCGGTTTTTGAGCTCGACACGCGTTCGATCTCGAGCTCAATATTTGACAGTTGATCTCGACTCGAACACCTCCTGGCTCGAGCTCGACTCAACCCGTTTGCAACCCTAGTCTATACTAAAATATGTACAACATAACTCAATTTACACACCTAGTTGTGAAGATGGTGAGCATTGGTCTCCTGAAAGAAAATGATATGCAAGCATAAGCTAGAGGTTCATGTAAGGAAATTCATAAATGACAGCACCCCATACGCTTGATCCGATGTTGATATACGGTATTTGTTTTAGATTATTTGCAGCTTTGAAACAAATCTACACACCTTGCCAGTATGGACTCCATTGGTGATATAAGTTACCTGCTTGTGCAGAGTTCACCATGAATCATATGCATCTGCAGATTTTAAAAGCCTAACTTCTATATAATGAGTTTTTCGCAAGCCAAATACGGATGTAACCTTTGACCCTTCACGATAAAAATAGAATTCCTGAAACCAAGGGAGAGAAATTGTACTGATTACTAAGCCACTTTCCATCTTTTTTTCAGGACTGGGATAGGCAAAACCCAACCCAGATTGTAACAGAGATGTGTGGATTTGTGACAATCCTCTCTGGTACATTTCTTCTTCACAAAACTAAGGATATGTCTGATGGTATGCCTCTTAAATACATTTCTTTTTTACAATATATTCTCCTTAGGAACTTATTAAAAAACATAATGACTAACAGGTATTGCATCATCCTTGCCTCTACGCCTTCCTAAACATGTAGACGAGGATTCATTTGCCTCAGAAGGAATTCCTCTCACACGCCAGAACCATTGATGATATACGAAGTTTTTTTTTGTTGGTAATTACTTCTGATAAAGCTTACCCAGGCTGCACATCTCTTCAATCCTGATTGAATGAATACTGGGACATTCTTTTTATCAGAGATGGAGAGGGAAAATGAGTTCTTTGGCTCTTCAAAGATCAGTGAATTTGTGGATCATATTGGAAATCCTTGTTATCTCTCTTTGATAGGCATTAGGCTCCACACTGATTTGAATATGCTCAAGCCAATAAATCATGAACAAAATGGATTATGCAGTGCCATTGTATCTATCTCGGAAATATTCATAAAATAAATCATTCTTTGTGTTTTTTTTTGGCTTTACCAGATTTGTTACATGAAACCATATAACTCATTTTTTTTTCTTTTTGAGCCATATTGTATTTTTAACAATTTGGTTTAAGGAATTATTATTTTAGAACAAGAGGGCTTGTTGATATGTTTATTTGTTGTTTTACTACACTGGTCAAATGAGGTTATTTGTACATCTTGAAGGATTCTTCTATCTACATCTGCCACAAAATGATTGTTGCTAGCATAGATAATTATAGGTGATTATAAATACAATAAGAAAGAACAATTTTAAGACAAATAGTTAATTTTTAGCCTTGATTATAAAGTATTTCGTTAGCATTCTACCGTTGATTTTATGATTTGGGTTTTGTTTGAGATGACTTTCTTATTGCTTCTTAAAGCAACTTTTTAGTTTAAAACTAAAAGTTTCTGCACATTCATTTTTTTTTTCATTGTATCAGGCGATGATGTCAGTTTGCTCTAGTGTTGTATAAGATCTTTACATTAATCTCTGAGATAAAATCTCAATAAAACTGGTATGCAAAATCTTCACCAGGAAACTCAACACACATTCTGCTACATGATCTGAATAAAATCTTACATTTTATTGAACCGTTACAAAAATCTGACAACAATAGGATTCTTCTTGATGTTTGAAATCTCAAAATTAAATAGAAGATGGGCATGTTCTTTCAACTCTATAAGTAGCTACTAGAAACAAACTCTGGCAGCCTAGTTCATATTACAACAACGAATCATAAAAAATAAAATAAAATAAAGTAAACATACTCATCAAATTGAATTCATGATCATAATTCTGATCCGAACTAGAAGCTGACACAAATGGCATCTAGAAGGTGAGATCCTTGGGATCTTCAATAATTTTGGCTAGGGTTTGCAGGAAAGCAGCAAGATCAGCACCGTATATGATACGATGATCTGCTGTAACATTCACCTGGATGTATGTAATAGAAAATTGTTAGATTTATGATTAGAAATGAAAAAGTTTAGTTCATATAGCATATGTAAGCAAGCAGGGAGGGTATTTACCTGCATCTGATTTTTCACACCAATCCTACCATCCTTGGTAGCTACCACTGTAGGTTGTGCAGCACCAACAGCCATGATCGCTCCCTGAAGCATGGTATGGTATAATTAAGACTAACATTTAAGACGAACACTGGGAAACTGTCTTTTTTTTTGGGACATTTAAGCCAATTAAGGCAAACTCACACACACATCGCATTCACAAAGACTCGAATTCAAGACCTCTTAGTTGGTAGCCTCAGCTCTCAACCAACAACCAACAACCAACAACCAACAGGACAAGATGAGCTGTGTGAAACTGGCAATTTTTGATAGAAGGTTATCTGAGAAGTTTGAATATTGGAGTAGAAAGAGGAGAAAACTTACCGTTCCAGGAGGTAGGATTGCATCGAACCGATCAACACCAAACATTCCAAGATTTGAAAGGGTAAATGTGCCTGAAAATAGAAGTAACACAGGATGTCGTGTACTTTAGAATTTTCTCAAAAAAAAAAAAAAAAGAACATTCAGGAAAATTCTTTATTTCATTTTATGCAGCAATCTTTATGACAACTATTTGTGTTTGACTTTAACCCCTTATTCTCCATTTATTCACATTGTGTTGCAAAGGGTAGTAAACATTACTTTGTGCAAACATCTTACACAACTACAATATTTTATGTACTCATTTTTATCATAATCCTTTGATATTAATTTTATTTATCAATCTTATTGTTGGATCATCTGCCCCTTTGTTGTGGATGTTTAAAAAATTTAAATCTACTTTTTATTATCTTATTTTCAACAATATAATTCAAACCGTATTTCTTACTAAGGTTCCCTCATGAGGAGGCCTAGAGCATTCAGCTGTTACCTACTTGTTTGGCTTATGTTGGTTGGTGGCACCTAATTATTGTATGATATGGATAGAATTGTAGGAATGAGGAGGTCAGGAGATTCTTGACATCTGGAGAGGATGCAGTGAGGAAAAAAGGGAGCCTGATTTTGCAAGAGAGAGAGAGAGAGAGAGGAGAGAGAGAGAGAGAGAGAGAGATGACGCAAAAGGATGGCAAGAAGAGAGATCCAGTATTTTTTTAAGCATTCAACATTGTTGCATACTTGAAATCCATATATAGAGAGAGAGAGAGAGAGAGAGAGAGAGAGAGAGAGAGAGAGAGAGAGGTGCAAACTAGGAATCCAAAGTCAAGCAAGAGAACACTACGTATGCAAAAGAAAAAAAAAACACACACAAGAATTGCAATAAAAAAAGACCTTCCTTCCAATATGACAAATACAAACATTAAACATAACACAACAAAACTTTTAACTTCTAATAGAAACCACTTATAAAATATATTATAACAAAATATGACACAACTTTAAGACTTGCAATAATTTAAGAGAAGAAAGATACAGGTGGGGCGGGAACTGTGGAGAGAGAAGAAGAGGTAGAAAATAGAGACGAAGTAGTAGAAGGAAAGGGGAAAGCATGCTAGCTCACAACCTAGAAAAACTCGCGGGTTTCTTAATGAAAAACCATTCTATTCTCTTCCTAAAACTGCAGCAAAACAGTCCTATTTATAGAGGAAAAACAGCCAACCATTCATATTAATGAGCCACCCCAAGCATCCAATAGGAGCCAACACAAAACTTGGGAAATAGCATAGAGAAGGGGAACGACCAACACAGTAAACTAGAAAAAAAAATAAATTCCAAGCATTTGGAAAACTGAAACCTGCATAGAAACTCAACAGGAAATCCAATAGCCACCAAAAAATCCGAATAAAGCATAGAACACCAAACAACCAGCTTTGCCTACACCAGAGAGAGATCTTGATTGTCTTTTCCATGGACAATTGCCATACAATAAGATAAAATAACAAGAGAAGGGCAAGATTTTCTATGTGGATAATAATGAAAAGAAAAAAAAAATCATAGGTTCTTGTCCAATTGAAAACCCCCTTTCACTACTAGTAGATATTAATTACTCAGCTCAAGAAGGCCTTTGGCGCACCTTGGTTGGCAAGAACTTCAAGTGGCGTTTAGAGCTCCAGAGTTCTCCTATAATCCAGAAGGTCTGAATATGCCAAATGCACTAAATGCTCGCCACCTAATGATGCCTATGATTGACTAACCAATGGGGAGGAGTTTAGATTTGGCCAATTTGAGCAACTTTGGTGCATGGATTAAGATATTTTGGATTTGTCACGCCGATGCAGACCTTTTGCTTCTTTTTTGCATTTTAAGCTCAACCGCCTTTTGAGTTTTTTTTTTTTATAAATGTGAAATGGTCAGATCTGTATCTTTCAATTGCTTTGAAAGTGATGCCGTGTGCTTGAAAAAACTAGGAATTTTTATTATCCAACAAAAATGACTTCTACAGTTTCTCCTTACTTCCTTGCAAGGCAAATTCCCCCCCTTGGCATAGTTTCTTCTTAGAGAAAATGAAGAGAACTTATTTTTCATTAAAATTACTAAGCTAAATCTATTATCATCGTTATATTTCTAAGCATCTTTTTGGATAAGGTTTCACAAACCCTTTTATACTACATTTGATTGAGATGGTGGGATTTCCCTCTAGAAATACTTTAATTTTTTTGTTAAATATTCTAATATTTTTTGGGCCTCTAATATTTTATTTTTATTTATAATGTATTTGATTTTAACTCTATCTTCTTAAATTAGATGACGAGATTTATCTATTTTTAAGACTCATATTTGGCAACAGTGAATGGCGCACCAAAGCACAAAGTTTTCCTTAGAATCATAGCGCATAACACATGATGTGACATGCACAATTTTAAACATGATGCACAATATTAAATAATTATAAATAAAAATATGTATTAATATTAAATATTATTAAATTGAAAGATAAATTATCTTGACATTAAAAACAACCAAAGTGATGTTTAAATTTAAGTAATGAACACCTCACTTATTTAAAATTCAAAACATTGCAACCATTTTTCAAGTCTGTTTGCTTTGTTAGAAATTAAATTAGTCTTAGGTTTTATCATCAAAAGTAAGAAAAGTATCATTTCCTTTATGTGCATCATCTCCTAATCCATAAACCTTCTCATTTGTCACAAAAATACACATCATCCAATAGTTATCACCTTCATTTGCAAATATTACATATTTTCATGCAGCATTTTCTTTTGTGATTTAAATTATATCTTGAATACTATTAGGCTGGCCCAGGAGGGGCTGGCTGGATCGGTCCAATCAGGACCGGTCCAAGTCTACTCCAGGAAGAAGCCTGGCTGGGCGGAAACAACAAGGGGGGGCGGAACCCCCTGTGGGCCCCACTTGGGGTTAAATCAATTTTGGGAGGGAAATTTCTGTTTTAGGTATTTTGTAATTTTCCTTTGTCTTTAATTAGGAGTTATGGTGAGAGCTTGGCTCTCACCTTGAATTTAAATCTTATTTGAGATCTAGGTTTTGTTCTTGGGCTCTTGGCGTTGCCGGAGATTGTTGAGAGTATTTCCTTCCTCTTGAATTGAAGAAAAAATGTATATTTCTTTATTGTCTTGCATCTACTATTGGAATACAAGAGATTTGCTTGGTTATCTCTCAGATTTCTAGCATAACTCTCCTGTTTCTCTCTGTTTTTTGGTTGTTTCCTGCTGTGGACAGCAATAATATTGCTGCAGTTTACTGATTTTGGCTAGTAATACTTGTGAATACAAGTGTTTCCTATCAAATACCTATAAACAAACATATATTCAAACATTTTTACCTTTTAAATATGAGAATGAAATGGTGAATAACAAATTACACAAATATGGCATTAATTGATTCAATTAAATGTAAAATATATCATAAATAACTTATAGCCTCTTTTTTTAGAAATTAAGGTACACTTACGCATAATTGCGGCATTATTAAGTTAAAAATAAATAATAAAATTAATAAATATAAACATAAATATTACTTTTAAATAAAAAAACCCAAAAAATGGCGCACACTACATAGTTTTTATGCAATGCACTATTGTTCCTATATCGTGCAAATAGCGTGCGTCATTTTAAATATGTGTATCGCACTTGCTTTAAAATTTAAATTAATTTCATTTTATCATCTAGCATTAACTTTATAAATAAGCATTTGAGGGCTGGTAATTTAAATATCCTATTATGAATTAAAATAAAGCAAATCCTATTTTCTTCATTGATTTTCTCTCCTATTGCCTCTTCTTGATTAGTCAATCATAAATCTCTCTCCTAACAAAGATCATAATTTCATAGAATCCCTCTTAAAAAATATCTATATCCTCAATGATTTTTTTTTTTGCTTAAATCATCCAAAGCAACTTTCTCCTTGCTAACAAATCATATGCTCGCATTCTCTCTAGACTCTAGCTTCATCTATTTGCATTTTGCAAGGCTAATTCATCCTTCTCCCAATTAATAATGAACTCAAAAAAAGCTCAAGCAAGTCAAAGCAGAATTTAAGAAAAGAAACAAGTTCATGGAGATCCTAATCACAAGGTTCCCATCAATTGGAGTTTATTATAGCTTGATGTAAAAAAATAGCTTCTTGCAAGGTGACTTCAAGGTACCAGTGTTCATGGAACCCCAAATTGGATTTAATGAGAATTGTAATGACAGTAAAGTATGTAAGTTGAAGAGAGCATTATGTAGATCGAAGCAAAATGCTATAAGAAGATTTGGGAGATTCACAAAAGCTATGCTTGCAATAGGTACAAGCTAAGTCAAGGGGATCATACTTTCTTTAAGAGCTAATCGCAATAGAAGTTATAACCTTGCTCATATAGGTGGCTGATATTATAGTAATAGGTTATAATCCAACTAAGAGAGAATCTCTCAAAAACATTTTTCCTTGCTAAGGACTTTGAGAGAAAATAAATTGGAAGAGTTAAGTAATTATTGGGTATCAAAGTGGCATATTCCAAATAGAGCATATTTCTTTCTCAATACAATATAAGCTCGTCCTGTTGGATCTCCTAAGAAAGACAAAAACACTTAGTTGTTGAGCATCAGGGTAACCTACTCTAGTCATTAATTAGGTAAAAAAAAATCATGGAGTAATATGGAAATTGATTTACTTATCCAACACTAAGGAAGATAAAGCTAATGTTGTAGGTTAAATTAATCAATTCATCGAGATGTTAAGCACTTGCAAGTTATTCATAATATTCTACATTATCTCAAGGTCGCATCACAAAGAGTGATCTTATTCAAAAGAAATGATGAACTATGTCTGAAAGACTAAAAAAATACTATTAAAATAGAAGATTGACGACATCAATTTATTGTACTTTCCTTGAATAATCATACCAAATACATTAAAGTGGATAGACAATTCAAACAGGAGAAAAAAAAAAGATAGGTTTGCCCAGTACTCCTTGCGTAACTAGCTAATGTCATGACCAAGTGACTAGCTAATTCGAGATTTCAATAAATTAAAAGCTGGGAATGAAAAATATTTATTAATCAATTCAAAGGAGAATGCTAGAAATTAAAAACAAGCTCACCTTCCTATATAAATATGTAATGCTACTACTAACATTGAGTAAGAAAAACATTAATCACCTATTTCTACACTAAGAAAAGTGTTTGGTGATATGCCTCCCTCCAAGGTCAGTCTAAACTATTTTGGTGCTATTTACATAAAAATTAAACTAATTTAATTATATTTTTATTTGCATCCCATAATTATAATACTACTAATTTCACATTGCTATTCAAATATCTAGGTATTTTTATTGCATTATTCATGTTTTAGTGTAAATCATGACTAATGCAAATCTATGCGTGCATATTTGAATCATTAAATTTATGTCACAATGCTGGTCAAGTGGTTAATACCTGAGTTGTACTCTAGTGGTTGGAGCTGCTTGGCCCGAGCCTTATCCACTAACTCTTTCCATTTCCTTGACAATGAGTAAATGTCCACCTAAAAAATGATCATTCCAATCATCATCTAGAACATAACAATTGAGAGACAAGATGCGCAAGATTATGATAAATATTAACCTTGTCTGCTTCTTGCAGAACAGGAGTGATAAGGCCTCCATCAATGGCAACAGCAACAGCAATGTTAATGCTGCTGTTATATGTGAAGCTCTTTCCATCCCTACAGCTACAATTAATCACTGGGTGTTTCGTTAGGGCCATAGCAGTTGCCTTAGCCAATAATGCAGTCATGGTAACCCCCTTCGACTTAATCTGAATCGAATTTCAAATACTTAAAAGCAGAAGGAAGATGCTAGAAACACACACGCACAAATGCCAAAGATCTTACTTTCTTATAGAGCTCATCGAGTGAATTGGTAGTGATAGTGTAACCAACACGGAATGTAGGCGCAGCAAGACTCTCCACCATGTTCCTGCTGACAGCTCCCTGCATCGCCGTGAAGGGCACAACACTTCCCAGCTCAACAGGTACCTTCGGAGTGGAATCCGCAACGGCTTTGGTAGCAGAGGTGATCGGCGCAGTGATTGCTACGGAAGCTGCTCCGTCAGTCGCTGCCTCAACATCCTTGGCAACGATCCGGCCCATAGGACCGGTTCCGACAACCGATTGAAGTTCCACCTTCAGATCCCTGGCGAGCTTCTTAGCATAAGGCGTGGCCACGATGCGTCGCCCGGCATCCGAAGCCGGATGCGCTGATGAAGCTAGGGTAAGATCCGCTTTTCCCGGACGAGGAGGGGAAGCTTCAGTTGCAATAGCGGATTCCTGAGGAGAAACTGGCGGTGAAGAAGCTTCTTCCGGATGGGCCGAGGAGGAGGAGGATGCCTTGGATTTTGCCAGTGGAATCTCCTCCTCTGTCTCGGCGAGAAGGGCGATGGCAGAACCCACGGTAGCGATACCTCCCTCGTCGACCATGATTGCAGCAAGGTAGCCGTCGTAGAAGGTCTCAACGTCCATGTCGGCCTTGTCGGACTCCACGACGACGACGCTCTCGCCCTTGGAAAGCTTATCTCCCTCAGATTTCACCCATGAAACGATCTTGCCCTCAGTCATGGTAGAACTAAGCGCCGGCATAAATATCTCGCGGATCTTGCTTTCCGTCGGATGCCGGCGGAGGGGTGCGGTTGCAGCGAAGATCCGGCGGCGGAGCTTGAGGTGAGACGACGAGGGGAGAAAGGAGGAGCCTAGATGGAGCTGAAGGGCACCGGCCATGGCGTCAGCTCGGGAGAGAATTGGGAGTGGAGGAGACTGAGACGGCGGTGCGGGTTTGGAGACCGGGGGTTAAGAGTATATCGTGGGCTTGGATTCGCCTCGGTCGCATCGATTCCTAGGCGGAGTTCTCGACGGGGTGTAATGAAGGCCAGCTGAGGTGTATAATATATATTATATATATATAAAGTTATATTTTTTAATTAATTTTAAGAATGTTTTTTTTTTTTAAGAATTGCATTAAAATATTTTAAAATTAAGGTGAATGATATTAGTATATTACAAGAAAAAATTGGCTTTATATGTATATCATCAAATATTTACTTGATCAAATACGAAGTTTGATATAATATTCAATTAAAATTTTTTGAATTTATATTACGAATCATCTTAAATCTAATTTCAATAAATTTTGATTAAACTGAATATCTCGATAAGACAAATTCATCGACATAAAAAATGATCCGATCAAAGCTCAAATGAGCCCAAAACATGCACTCAAAGCATAATTAACAAATAAAGCATAATTAACAAATTTTGGTCATCAATTGAAAAATCAAATTATCTCACATTTTGCAAGCTTATAATCAAATATAATGTCTCAATAAGATGAACCTAACAAGCTCAAAATTGCTTAATTTCAGCATCATTAAGCCACTCTAATATTAAAAAAAATGATATATGATTAAGATAATTAATATGGATTGTTTGATAATAAATAATTGTTATTTAATAAGTGATATATATGCTTTTTTATTAGGGCATTATTTTTAATATTTGTACTGAGTTCTTAGACATATGTAGGATGTGATATTCAATAGAATATTAAAAATTTGCTATGCATATCTACATAAATTATTTTAAATGTTCATGATGAAATAATAGATAATTTTAATTTAATTTATTGTTGCATATATTTCTACATATCGAATTAATTTTTATAGTAGTGATATTTACTTTATGTCTATAACTTTTATTGGATATTAAAAAATTATTCATGAAAATCATATTTTGTTAACATAACCCTATTTTTAGTAAACTAACCACACAATTATTATTTTTGCTTTGTTATTGTACTATTATCATATAGCCAAAACTCTCAACAAAGAGATCAAAATGAGCTGCGTGACCCTATCCTTTAAAACTTATTTGAATAATTAAAGTCAATATTTTTATTACATTTCACTGCGGTGTGCCGCTTTATGGACCGACAGTGTAACAAAGAATATAAATGAAATAAAATGTTGAATTGAGGCTTCGTTTAGGACGGCTTTCTTATTGCTTCTTAAAGCAGCTTTTTAGTAGAAAAAAAATATTTTTTGCATAAAAAAACTGCTTTAAGAAATAGAAATAAAGCCGTCCCAAATAAAGCTTGAGATTAGCAATGTAGCTTTAAATTCAAGACCTCTTAGCTAGTTTAGTAATAAAAGCTTCTTCAAAAAAAAAAATTATGCTTTACAGACATATAAAATAATATTTATTTATTTGCAAATCTAACCTTTAAACTTTATTTTATTTATAAAAAAACCATTTCTCATAATAGCAAGGCAGAAACAGATCGAAACAAAAGGCTGTTGTTAACTCCCCGACGTTTCTCCGCTCTTCTCTGTCCTTCAATCCCTCCTCCCATGGCATCATACCATTTGAATATTTCAGCTCTCTCATCCTTCCCCATCTCGATCTCACCTACCGGCGACGAAGCCCTCTCCTCGTTCCTTCGCAAATCAAAGCACATCGAGTAAGAAGATGAACACCATGGAGAAATAAGCAATACAGTTATATTAGTGACTTAATAACTAAGATCTGATAAGCCAAGCAAGATAAAGACGCGCCGTGGTGACGGTGGCGCGGGGCCGATCCCTAGGAAATGCCGCCACCGGAGGGAAAGGCAGAGGATCTTTGCATCTGGTTCATTACCTGCTTTTTCTTTCTGTTAATCCTCTCCGGTGGCATCTTCCTTGTCCTCTATATAACCCAGCCGGAGACCGACGAGACCGGCTGGTTTCCCATCGTCGGAATGGCCCTAATCGCCATTCCCTGGATCTTTTGGATCTTGACCTGCTTGTACCGCACCATCATGCCCTGCTACAAGTCACCGCCGACGGAAGCGGTGGCGGCTCCGGTGGAGTCGCAGGTGTGTTCACCAGGAGAAGGGAGGCGGGTGAGGTTCGGCGAGACAACGGTGATCGGAACACAGGATGTCGGCGATGCGGTGAATGGGACGGCGGAGGGCGCGGCAGCGAGCGATTCTTCCCTGGGGTCGCATGAAAGAGAGGTGCCCTTGGCTTTGTCCATATGATGATCTTTTTTTTATTATATCATTCGATTTTTCATTATTGAGATTTATGTAATTTTTTATTATAATTTATTTTATATTATTGAGCTTTATGTTATTTGACTTTTGGTAAAACTTTAAGGAGCACATTAATATATATTAGTAGAATGAATATAGAATGAATAAAATTTATATATGATCAAATTTATCATTTATTTGACGTATTCAATAGAATATATCAAAACATTTGGTGCATTCTGAACGCTCCAAATATTTTAGTGCATTCTATTGAATACGTCAAATATTTGGGTGAAAATGATTAAGAATAGAATGCACCAAACGTTTTAGTGCATTCAATATAATGCACCAAAATGTTTAGCACATTCAGAATGCAGTGCATTTTATTATATACGATAAACAAAATTGTAAGTTTACTTCTATTTAAATTGTATTTATTCAAAATTTTTATTAATTTATGTTAATGATTGTGCTCCTAAAATTTCTCCTTTTGCTTTTGATATAAGACATATAAATGATAACGAATAAAAATTTAGGGCTCAATTGTATGAATTTAATAGTATTGTCATTTTGGTTGGGTGAAGTAATTAAAAAAAAGATTTTCAATTTTATAATATCTTTTAAATGTTTGGATATAATAATTGTATTTGTTTATGTAAAATGAGTTTCATTGTCGGATAAAAATATTGTACTTTAATCACTTTAAACCATATTGTTAATACTAACTGAAAAAAGAGTAGCGAGATAGGGAGAGAATGATTCTATAATGAGAAGCTCTTAGATTTCTTTAAAATGAGTTTGAATATAAAAAAATTGTGTAGGTTGAGCTCAACCCTTAATACCCTTATTTATAGAGTTGGGTTAAAAACTATGGGTGTCAATTTTTGACACGACACGAATCTGACCCAGAAAAATTCGGGTTCGGATTCAACAAATCAACTCGTTTCTAAAACCGGGTCAGGGTTCGGGTTGACCCAGCAACCTGAAAATGACCCGAGATTGACATGAAAACTCGTATTTGACACGAAAATCCGAGATTGACCCATTTTTGACCTGAAAATCAAAGATTGACCCGATTTTTGACCCGAAAACTAGCAATTTTGGGTCAACCAGGGGTCATTCGTGTCTGGTCGGGTTGACCCGGACCCGAATCGTGTCGAGTTCGATTCCGAAAACCTGACTCATTTTTAAAATCGAGTCTGGTTTGGGTTGACCCGAATAGTGCTGGGTCAGTTCCGGGTTCGGGTTGACCCGAATAGTGCTGGGTCAGTTCCGGATTCGATCTGAACCCGACCCGTTGACCCGAATTGACACCCCTATTAAAAACTACATATATGAATATATAGAAAATAAAAAAAAAAATTATAAATGTGGTATAATGATGATTTCCTTTTGAGCTGAGACCGAGAAGTTGAGTTGAATCATCTTGAATCGGGATGACTTGGCTTGGAACTAGTTTTCTAAATATTTGGTTGTACAATCTACATCTTAAACACTGGAAAAAAAATAGATTTATTTTAAATTCATATATTTTCTATTTATAAAATGTTATTCTTCTATCGCTATTGGTCAAATTCCTATCGAAATATCAAATTCTTAATAAAAATTTTAATTTAGATTTCATCAAAGACCTAATGATTTGATCCTGATAAACACAAATATAAGAATTCTAATCTTTAAGGTAAGTATTATTGTTGCGTTCAGGAATATTCACGGCGATAGAGAAATATAAAGTTTAGTGTCTTAATTTTATATGAAGATCAAGCACACAATTAGATAAAAGAGAGGGGTGTAGTGTTCATAAGAGACATCATAGTTTTTATATGGAAACCCTTGAAAAGGGGGAAAAATTATTGGGCCTGAACCAGTTTTAACGAATCCACTAGTTTTTGTAGTCGATTACAAATTAGGTCTTTCCTCAGGGGGAAAGTCTTGGCTTGATGTAGCAAATATGCATCATATAGAGTGCATTACATGGTGGAAATTTGAAGAATCAATATTGACATGTTTGTTTGGTAAACTTAACCATAGTCGGCTAGCGACATAGATCAGAAAGTTCGTATTCGGGTGACAACGGTCAGAAGGATTATAGTTGGCGGACGACGAAGGTCAGAAAGATCATTATTAGACAACGGAGCTTGGAAGGACCATAGTCGGCAGACAATGAAGGTTAGACAGACTGTTATCAAACGATAGAGGTCATAAGGACCATAATCGCTTGGTGAAGGGTGAAGGAGGTCGAAATGACCGTAGTTAGTAGCAACATAGGTCAACAGGATCATATCTGGCGATTGAGGTTGGAAGGACCGCAGTCGGCGAACAACGGAGGCTAAAAAGACCATAGTTTGGCGACAAAAGTTGGAAAGACCATAGTCGACGGACGATCGAGGCTGGAAAGACCGTAATCTGGCGACAGAAGGCAGAAGGACCGTAATCGACGGGCAACAGAGGTCGGAAAGGGGTGACAGAGATCGAAAAGAATGTAGTCTGGTGACGGAGAGCAAACGGATCATAGTCGACGGGCGACAGAGGTCGGAAAGACCATATTCTAGCAACAAAGGTTGGAAGCTCTGTTTAAAATTGTGCAACAAGAGGCGTGCCTCTACGCAATTTGCCCCAAATACGCCTCGAGGCTTACGCAATTTTCCTCTTGACAGTGCGCCTCTAAGGCGCATTGCGTAATTATAGGTGAGGCGTACGCTTCATCAACCCGGTCCCACGGTGGGTTAAAATTCACCGCACCAATCAGTATAAGCAGTTCGACCACTGTTTAAACTTTTAGTACTACTCGGTACCGAGCCAGTACTGCTCGGTACCGAGCGGTACATGCTCGATATTTTTTAAACGAGTTGAGCTCGAGCTTATTAATCGAGCTCGAGTTCGAGTTCATTGAGGGTTAAACGAGCCAGACTTGATAAGCCAGATACTCGACTCTGACTCGTTTGCACCCTTGACTCCCACCTACTTAAAGTGAAGCATTTTTTCCCTTCATCCCGTTCTGATAGACTATAATTTTGTGGTTTTGGACTTTAGAACATGCTTTTATTGCATCTTTTTTCTTAATTTACACTAATTCCACTTATCATTTAGATGTTTTTATTGTATGATTGAATCTTACTATTATGTACATGCTAAAACCCTTAAATTCTCATTTACGCAATTCTGCGTCCGTGAGGCTTACGCCTCAGACCGCCTCGAGGATTACTCCTCGCCTCATAGACGAAAACTGCCTCGAGGCTTATTTATGCAATTTTAAACCTTGGTTGGAAGGACCATATTCGGCGGGCAATGGAGGTCATAAAGACCATAATTAGACAACGAATGTCTGGAGAAAATCCGACGATAATAAGTGGTCGTGCATAAGTCTTAAAATAATTGGTGGTCAAGCGGAACTCCAGCGATGGCCGATTGTCGAGTGTAAATCTGGTAATAGTTGGCGGGCGGAAGTATGGCGAAAGTCCGACGATGGTTGGTGGCCACTGGCCAGGCGTAAATCCATAAATAGTTGGTGGCCTGGCGGAAGCCCGAAGACAATCGATGGCCGGGTGTAAGTCTGGCGACATTCAGTGGCCGGGTGGTGGTTGAGGATGAACTTGTTGGCAAGAGAACTCTTCCTCTCCTCTCTTCTTTTTCTTCCAATCACTGCGGTGGCGTTGAACCTCACCTGCCTCTCTCCTACCAGCGAATATACCTGGGAGTCCGCCGGAGCTGCCACCGTTGCCATCGGCGGTGGCTTGTAGTATGGCATGACGGTGCGGTACAAGCAGGTTAAGATCCAATAGATCGAATGAATGGCAATTAGGGCCATTCGTCGGTATCCGGTTGGGTTATATATGACGAAAAAAATGCCACCGGAGAGGATTATCATAAAGAAAAAGCAGGTAATGAACCAGATGTAAAGATCCCTGCCTCTCCCTCCGGTGGCGGCATTTCCTAACAATCGGTCCCCCGCCACCATCACCACCGCGCGTCTTTGTCTTGCTTGGTTTGTCAGGTTGTATTTCTTCTGTCACTAATATAACTGTATTGCTTATTTCTCCATAGTGTTCGATTGTGCCTTGATTTGCAAAGAGACGAGGAGAGGGCTTCATCGCCATTAGGTGAGATCGAGATAGGGGAGAGATGAGAGAGCTGAACTATTCAAATGGTATGATTCCATGGAGGAGGGATTGAAGGTAGGGCTGCAGGTGAACCAAACGTTCGACGAGCTGCTCGTTGTTCAGTTAGATTAAAGCTCGTTTTTGATCGTTTAATTAGCTAAACAAATAAACTTGAACAATATTTTAAATACTCTAAATATCTTTTAAATGTTTGGATATAATAATTTTATTTGTTTATGTAAAATGAGTTTCATTGTCGGATAAAAATATTGTACTTTAATCACTTTAAACCATATTGTTAATACTAACTGAAAAAAGAGTAGCGAGATAGGGAGAGAATGATTCTATAATGAGAAGCTCTTAGATTTCTTTAAAATGAGTTTGAATATAAAAAAAATGTGTAGGTTGAGCTCATCCCTTAACACCCTTATTTATAGAGTTGGGTTAAAATCTAGGGGTGTCAATTTTTGACACGACCCGAACCCGACCCAAAAAAATCCGGGTTCGGGTCGACCCATACCTGAAATGGGCCTGGTTATGGTTCAACAAATCAACTTGTTTTAAAAATCAGGCCGGGTTCGGGTTGACCTAGCAACCTGAAAATGACCCGAAATTGACATGAAAACTCGTATTTGACCCGAAAATCCGAGAACGATCCATTTTTGACCCGAAAATCAAAGATTGACCCTATTTTTTATCCGAAAACTAGCAATTTTGGGTCAACCCCGGGTCATTCGTGTCGGGTCAGGTTGACCCGGACCCGAATCGGGTCGGGTTCGATTCCGAAAAATTAGCTTATATGATTTGCGGAAGAAACACGCGAAAGAGAAAAACGACGGTTCTTTTGCAGCGAGCATAAGCAGCGCACGAAAAAGGAGAAGAAATATAATGGAGTTCCTTTGCAGATGAATTACTATATTTTAGAATGAAGAATGAGTTTTTCGGTTGAAGATGCCCTAACTAAGAGAGATAAACACATCACACATGCATTTACATTGCAGATTGACAAAAACTATTTCACTCACTTTTCCTCATTCAATCTCTAACATAAAATCCTCTGGAATGCCAATTTGCAACTCCAATCAGTCATGGTAAGAAAGTTATACAAAAAATAAAAAACAAAAATGGAAGATCATTATTTCCTTCATATCTATATTAAGATTAAACTTTTCCATTTTGATCAGAACCAATATTTCTAACCGGCCCTTTGAACCATTTCCTTGCATCCAATATCCACCACAGCATTATAACAGTGAGGCAGACACCCAAAGCCACTGGAGCATAGTTGAAGTTTTTCCACTCTATGGGATACAAATTGGGAAGCAGGAAAACTGAACAAGTGTAGCAAATCCATAAGAAGGCCACAAAGCACACAGGCTTGCTTGCTTTGCCCAGATAGAAAGGACCAGCTTTGAAGTTCTTTTCAGCCATGACCAATCTTGCGAATATAGGAACTCCATAGCTACCCACCCAACCAATTGTGCATATAGATATAATAGCTGTGAATACAACGTTAACTTTGATGATAGGAAGCCCCATAATTATGCAGATAGTTGCGCATAACCAGACTGCGTTGGCTGGAACTTTATGTTTTGGATGAATTTTACGCCAAATTGATGAGAAGGGAAAGCCATCGTCCCTAGATAATGCATATACCTGCAAAAGCATGAAATGATAAATTGGAGATTCACTTTAAGGCTTCATTTGGTACAGTTTTCTTACTACTTTATGAATCATTTTCTTAGTACAATTTTTTTTTTTTTTAATTTTAAGTTTTTGTATTAGAAAATTGTTTCATAAAGCAGTAAGAAAGCTAGGGCTGTCAAAATCGAGTCATGGGTCGGGTTCGGGTCTAACCCGGAACTGACCCCACACTATTCGACCCAACCCGAACCCGAGCCATTAAGGTAATATTTAAACATAAATCAAATTAAGGTAAGATTTACTTCAATCAATTAAAAGAAAAAAAATGAGCTTAATTCAATTTGGGCAATATGGTTTATTATTTTTTTTAAAATATCATTTACTTATTTCATTATAATATTTTAAAACACTCATAAATTAATTAAAAACGGGTCAAATTGGATTGATTTTGAGTTTCTAGGTCAACCCGAACCTAAACCAGTTTTACAAGCGGGTCGAAATTCCTAACCCGAAATTTTCAGGTCGGGTTCGGGTCAAGTCAAATATTGACATCCCTAAAGAAAGCTATTCCAAATGAAGCCTAAATGTACAAAATCATCATGCAGTTAATAACCTGGAAGAGAGAATTGGCATTTTTTTATATTTTTAAAACCTGTTCTAGATCAGCATAAAATGCAGCAAAGCAGATGCATGTAAGTTAGGTGGAAAAATTGGACATGTTTTGGAAATTTGGATCAAAAAATTATTATTTTGATACTCTGATCGACAAAATAGAAAAAGAAAAGCCCAAACTAACAAAGAAACTGTTCTTAAAAGAGGTTAGATAAGTGCTTACCACCCTAGCTGCACTTGTAGTGCTAGATAGACCACCAAAGAAGAATGAACCCCAAATAATAACTAGAAAAATTATAGCACCAATAGAGTTATGGTATCTGCCATGAAAAGCATCATATAATATCTGTGCAGGCACATATGCTCCTCCAGTTTCATTGTTCACATCGTAAAGGTACTCAAAGTTCTGCCAATAATATTTTTTTGCTAATATCAATATAATTCACTAGGAGATTGACCAGTTTTTTACCCCCAAAATCGGATATTGACACATTTTTTATCCAAAAACTAGCAATTTTTTGTCAGCCCCGAGTCATTTGGGTCGTGTCGGTTTGACCCCCGGACCCAAAATGGGTCGGGGTTGGGTCTGAAAAACCGATCCGTTTGCAAAAATGGGTCGGGTTCAGATTGAACCGAGTAGTTACGGATCAGTTTCGAATTCGACCCGTGACCCGAAATTGACACGCCTATAATACACATTCTCAAAGCATTGATAAAACTTGATAAGTTAACATTACCTGAATGCTGAAAGTGAGAACTAGCACATACATCCAGCCATATAGTGAGACAATAAAGATACTTGCGAGAATAGAGATTGGGCCATTTTTGTCAGCTCCCTTTGTTTCCTCTGTTATATGTGCTGCAGTATCGTATCCAAGCAAAGAAAAATGACTGAAAAGAACTGATAGAATAATTGCGTATGGCTTGCTGCTTATTCCTGTTGATTCTGAGGCTAATTCAAAATGGCCAAAGACGAAGGAAGCAGGCTGAGTAGATAAAGCCACTAAAGGAAGCAATACAATGAGGACTGAGCCCCCAATCAGCTGTGTATGTAGAAGAGGAAAAAAATTAAGAAATGAACAGAAATGAAATCTGGTAATAGCTATAAAGCTCATTTTGATCATATTTGAATATGAGTGATTGAGTATACCAACACAAATCTAACCATCTCATATGAATCTTCCATTATAAAATATGAGAACTTTACATGCATACACATTTTTAAATAGGAAGAAGGATCAAAATGATCCATTAGCTCTTTATGAAGGATCAAAATGATCTCCAACTATATTAAATGACCATTTCGATACTTTCAGTCTTTAAAGAAGAATCCAAACAGTTTCATAATAGGACTATTTTTGCTCCTTTTCAAAGAATTGAAGGATCAAATAGTCATTTAATATAATTGACGATTATTTTGATCTTTCGAAAGAGTCAATGGACCATATTGATATATTTTCTATTTCTAAAATCAACAATGATGATTGAGATAAATTACGATGCGAAAAAAAGATAATATTTGAATGAATTTATAACATACAAAATATAAGTCAAACTTAGTTAATGAAAGACAGGATTCAAAGGCTACCTGCCAAATTATTGATATCATATCAATAAAGGCAATCACTTGTAATGCAAAAGTGTTGAGTATCGCCCATATCATTGTAAAGAACACGTACATTCCCAAAAATACTCCAGGAGAGGCAAGGTAACCACCACCTTTGTTTGTACCAGTACATAATAAAATAATAATTTGCAAGACTTGGGAAGATGAATAAGCCTAACACAAAAGAGGAAGAACAATGTTAAATTCACTTCATTCATTCTATCTCATCATTAAAAATGCTAAGTGTTAAATATAGCATAATTGGTTTTAAAGAAATTTAAAGAGATTAATAGATGCAGCTTAAGTCTTCGTTTGAGATGGCTTTCTTACTGCTTCTTAAATCAAATATCTAGAACAAAAATTAAATTTTTTATACTAAAAAACTGCTTTAAGAAGCAGTAAGAAAGCCGCCCCAAACGATGACTAAATTAAGGTTTGGGGCAGCAGCTTTTTGACCATTTGTTTTTTAAGCATTAATCACAATTTTGTTTGATTATTATTTTTTTTTATGCTTTCTTATCAATCATAATAGCGAACTTGCTTTCTTCATAATCAGCTTTATTAAATACTATAGCTATTCCAAATAGATGCTGAATTTGTTTGATTTTTAAGTTAGATTAAGGCTTCGTTTGGGACGGCTTTCTTACTGCTTCTAAAAAAAACTTTTTAGTACAAGAATTTAAATTTTGTACTAAAAAACTGCTTAAAAAAGCAGTAAGAAAGCTATCCCAAACGAACCTTAAATAACTTGATATGTGAAAACTTTTGACCTCTCACATATAATTGCAGCATTTGTACCTCTTTGGTTAGCTCTGATTTTTTTTTTTTTTTTTTT